GGTTTTTCTGATCTGAAATGGTTAAATAAAAAGAAAGAACTACATTAGACTAGTAAGAATATCACACTTAACAACGATATGGAAAATTAAAGGTTGGTAAAAATCGTTAAATAACCAATGGAGCTATTGCTTCTTTTTAAATCAATTCGTTTAACTTAAAAATCGTTATTTCATACTTCCTCTCATGAGTTTCCAAACTCGACCTATGAAGACAATAACGTGAATAACATTTTTATTATAGATTTGAATGAATAATAATAATAAATTTACCTTCTTACCTGCTTACATTAACCTTTGGGAGTCCATAAGAACGTCCCTCTATGCGTGAACCTAATATTCAAATTATCAATCAACCGGTCGTCTCCATACATCATCTGATAATGGGCGTCAAACATACTATCATTTCGATACACTGTCCAATATGAAGGTGATATATACCTCCCAATCTCTTCTGGTATAAGACTTTTCAGCCTCGTTCAACTAAAAAATTATCAACGATAGGATTTTTCATATGCATCGAGTCCGTACACCCTTCTCCAGTACCCGATAAGCTCTTTTACAGGCACGTTCACATCATTCACCAGCCATAAATTACAAGTACAATCTCATTTCATGATTATAATAGAAATAAAACGATGATTTAGTAGATTATATAGCTTAAAAGTGAACATTTAGAGAGAAGCATAATTAAACATTTATTTCAAAACCAATCAAATGATAGGGATAAACAGTCAAGTAAATTAATAAACGAGAAGGCAATAAAACCTATGAATTTATAGTGCATATAATAAACAAACAATAATAATCTAGCAACAACTGAACAGTATCGATATAATGAACGATTTCATACTGACCAGTTAGTGGTTACACTGGTGACCTGTAATTAATTTTAGAATTTTTTAATTTTTATAAAACACACCATTATTAATTATTTAAACTTTAATTTACCATAACGAATAAAAGAGTGAGAGATTCTTACTCTAAATCAGTATTTAAAGCACCATTCTTTTCACTGCACCTCCTGGCGGTTCCCAGGTTTTCTCAGTTTTTCCTGCAGAAATAAAAATATGTGTCACATATCCTAAAATACTAAAAGGCCAAAATAAGTATTTTTAAACTTTTTTGGCCGATTAAGGTTTCGGCACGGCAACATCGCCGTGCTCCGGCGCTAGCTCCATCCCTACGGTGGCGTTTCCTCTCAGTCGTGTTGTTTTTGGTCAATTTTGGCTGATTTTTTGTCGATTTTGCATGGAAACCTGCAAAAAATAAGGTAGGGAGCCTCTGTCAGCCAAAAAAAGAGAAAATTGAGACCCTATTAGTGGGGGGTTTTTTGGTACAGCAGCTCCACCATTCTTTTCTTGCGGTTGGGGTTTTCCTTCAGCTAACCTGTATCAGAAAGAGACGAAGAACACGTTGATCAAAGAATCAAATAAAATGGGAAACAGAAAGGGGGTCATCAGAGAGGTTTTTAGGTTGCGACCGCAGTGGCTCGTTCGAGTTCCGCTCGCAGGTTGGAAATTTAACTCCGAGCGGAGGGAAAATTTTTTCTTTTTCGGCGTGGGCGATGGCTCTGGTGCAGCGCCGACGGTGTCCCTCCGGTGGCTGAGCTTTCCTTTGGCGACCATTCTTCTTCTTCTCTGGTCAGGGGTCTCCACTAGGGTTTTGGGAGCTGACCGAAGTCTTCTCCTAATCTTGACCGTCCATTCGCGTTGACGTGGAGTAGGGAGAGTCGTTCGATTTGAGACCCATTTAAGTCGATCCGTGTGCGAATCTAAGCCGTCAATCGCGATCAAATCCAGTCGTCCGATCGCGCTAGAAAAGAAATGGATCTGGATCGTCTGTGTGCGCGGGATGCAATTTAGGCAGTTGGATCCGCTAACACGCGGATCGTTCGCCTGGATGTGTATCCATGTATCTGCCACGCAACGCACGAAGACTGGTCGCGTTGCTGACGTGCCGGTCCACGTGGCCAAACTTTTGAAATTTTTATTTTTACCCTAATTTTTCATATTTCTTTTCAAATAGGTCTTACCTTATTTCTAATTTGGCTCTGATTTTCAAAAATATTTTGAAATGCATCCAAAACTCAATTTTCATTAAAAATTCCTATAAAATTAAAATTATTTTAATTCACTTTTTCATTAATATTAAATTATCTTGGACCAATTTTTCGGGTTCAGATGTTACATCTTGCGTGGACGCGTGTCCACGTGTGGGCTACGCACAACGCAACGATTGGTCGCGCTACTGACGCGACAGTCCATGTGGTCAAATTTTTATTATTTTTACTTTACCCCAGTTTTTTAAATTTCTTTTTAAATAGGTTCTTCCTTATTTTTACTTCGGCCCTGATTTTTGAAAATATTTTCAAATGCACCAAAACACAATTTTTCTTAAAAAATTTAACAAAAACTTCAAATTAAAAATTTTAATTTATTTTATTATTATAATTTAATTATTCTGGTCCTAAATTTTGGGTCCGAGTGTTACAAAAAATTTATATAGTATATTATTTCAGATTTTGTAGTCAACTAAAATTTAAATAGATATTTATATATATATATATATTAGTAGTTAACTTAAAGTTAAATTTTAATAAGAAAGTATTATTGATTAGATAATATAGTCTAATCTTAATATATATATTCTAAAGTGCTTATAAGTACTTCACCTGATATTTTTAATAATTATCATCATTTTTTTAGATATTTTATATTTACAGATAGAGTTTTTTAATTAATTAATTATTAAAATAATTAAATTATTATTTTAAGTAATAAAATAAAATTATTTCAAAAAATCTAAAAATTTGTAAGTGTCATTCTTTATATTTCTTATACAAATGCTTAAATAATTAAGGTAAAAAATATACGTTTTACCTATAACAAAATAAAACTTTCACCTCATTTTGCTCATTAATTTTTTTTATTATTATTTTTTTTTTTTTTACTTTTTTGTAATTTACGTAAGTAAAAAAATCAAACAATTATAAAAAATAAAAAAATAAATAAATTGTGATATATGTTTGAACTTAATATTTAATTTATACTTCTAATACCATATCATACAATTAATCAATAGCATAAATGCACCCATTAAAAAAACATCATTGTGTGGGGCTCCATGAGCTTCTCTTGGAATTTCCCATCAACAAATTAACTCTCCCTCTCCCTCTCCCTCTCCTAACAATACATGTTTAAGATACCAGCATAGCATAACAATATATAGTGATATAATGATTAAAAATTTTGTCTTTAGTTAAAATGAATAAATTTAAATTTATTAATAACATATAATTATATTACTTTATAAATATATTATGTATTAATAGTAGTTATTAATTTAATAAAATTATAATAACCACGTAAAATATATACAATTGCGTATATAAACATTTATCGTAAATGGATTTGGTAAAAGTGCAATATTAGCTTGAATTATGCTTATATCATTTGCTAATTCAAAATTGAAATTAATGGACAAATAAACTTTAATTTTAATTTTAAATTTCCAAATATTGAAAAAAAAAAAAAAAAAATGATGGGTGTAATTGACTTGACGGAAAATGGTCCAAATTGGTGGGTGAAATAGAAGGGTTTGTTTTCTTTTGAGGGAAGAGAAAAAAATCATTGGATAAAAGATTGAAGAATACAAAAGCTTCTGTCTCTCTCTCTCTCTCCCAAGGATGTAAAGGTCAAAGTTGAACAGAAACGAATAATCCCATTTTCCTTAACCCAAGGCTGCTTTTGTCATTTCACTTAAAAAAGTTAAAAAGTAAATTTTCTAGAATCCTCATTAATTTTAACCGTTGAAGGAATTTTTAACAGCAGATTGTTGGGGAAAAAAAAAACAAAAACAAAAACAAAAACAAGTTAAGAGGAGATGCATGTGAAAAAATCAAAGGGTTATGAAGTTAGACACAAGAGGAAGAGGAATGTTTGATTATACATATATAAATTATTGGTTAGGGACTTGTAGGTAACAAATTTCAATTTAATTTAATTTTTTATTTCATTATAAGTATTTCAATTAATATAATATTTTAAAAAAATCTATCTATAAATTTATCATTAAAAAAATAATAACAAAAATGTAAGAAATTATTATATATTATTTTAAAATAGTAAATTCAACACTCATTAAGTTCTTAATGTAGAATTATTCACTTATTATATATTAACGATAATTAAATTGAATTAAATTTTATTAAGTTTATTACATGTTTGAACTAAAAAAATATTTTGTAATACTTTGATTCTTTTAATTGGGATAGTCTCTCTCTTTTTTTTTGGTTAATCTTTTTGGGGAGAGTGCTATGGTTTGTTGAACTGCTTCATAATTAAATATATATATATATATATACATATGTATGTATGTATGTTAAAAAAAGTCAACAGAAATAACAATGGTAATATTTATCCAAAATGGAGTCAACAGAAGGTTATCTGCCTGACGCTATGCCATCAACTCAATTGGTAGTGGGTGACCTATTGCCTCTCTACTTAAATATGATGATAGTTATTGGATTATATATATATATATATATATATATTTCTTTTTCACAATAATTGAATTAGTGACCTACTAGTCTTAGTCTAATATAACCCAAGGTAATTCCACAGAATAACTAAACACCACCTTGTATTCTCCGACTATACTAAACATTCCAAAATCTCTAATTCGGATTTTTATAGAAACTTATTTGTAGCTTCATTCTACTAAAGTTCAATTATAATATATTCAAAATTTCTGTTAAAATAATATATAAAATTTCATACAATTTTACTAGAATTTATTTTCACCATTTCATAATATAATTCACACACCCTTTCAACTAAAACTAAGTAAAAATTTACAAATTTATCCCACACAGCTGTAGTCTTAATGTGTATAACTCAAATACACCAAATCTTTGTTCTAATTACGCAAAATCGGACTACTATGAAAAAAATTAAAATTAAGAATTTAATAGAAACTGAGACAAGTGAAAAACGTTATAATAAGGTCTAGATGGAGGAGCAACACTGATAGCTCCTCTCATTTTCTTTCCATTTTTTTTTTTTTTTTTTTTTTTCATTTAGCTTGAAAGAAAACTGTTCATGGACAGCAAAAAAGTCATGAGAGAATCACTGTATAAAGTCTAAGCACATTGCTAAGAGGATAGAAATTTGACCAAAAAACATGACAGTACAAAGATTATATAACCAACAAATGCAGCAGGGAGGAAAGAGACTCTACTGTTTAGATGTATAACTAAATTATGATATACACTTTGTTCCAAACAACAACATCGCCCAACTTCGTAAGAAGACTTTATTGGCATCATTTCATAACCTAGCAACATAGGAATTCGACTGAGTAACATATCTCACCCATCGATATGGATTGTAGTTGGCTGATTTCTTTGCAATCTGTAGGTATTTAACCTGCACGAAATAACAATCCATCAAACTTGATATCCACAACATGTACAGAATAGAAAACAGGCATCCACAGCTTTGCTTCTGATACCCTGCTGCTCCAAAGGGACAGAGCCAATTGACAAAACTGAAGTAAACAAGCCTAGTATCCACAAAAGTGAAAGACATAGTCTATTAAGTCATTGAAGTGATTTTTCAAGGCTTCAAGGCCTCAAATTGCCACGTAGAGTTATACAGAGGTTTAGGCCACTTCAACAAATATCTTACCTGAAGCCCAGAAGCGTTATACATAGGTATGGTGAATGTCATGCTAACTGGTCCAGCTTCTTTTGTGATATTTCCTAGAAAGTGACAATGTGAGCGGAAACAATATTAAATATCACCAATGACTTCCTTTTATTTTTGAGCACAAAAATTCTGACATGATTTGAAAGACATTTATCCAACGTGAACAATAACCAGATCTTTCTTGAGAAAAAAATGTGAATTATTTATAGTCCATACCATGAACTTCCTGCGAAAATGTCAGCTTCGCACGTAGAGTATGTTCACCCCCTCCAAAAATCTGTTACACATTGTATCTATTGGTTAGCGTACATATTCTGAGTGAAGAAGCTAATTGCACCAACATGGTCAAAAAACTTGATACATTGAAGTTATTGCAAAATTGAGAAATATCTATAAGAGTATCTAAAAAAGTGATTGCCTTCTTCAAACACCATTCAAGCCTCTTGTTTGCTTCTTTGAAATCTGTCCTCTGCCCGATAGCCCCAGATTCTAACTCGAAACTAACCCTGTAAAATTGTAAACTAAAAGTTAATGTGTGAACATAGTATAAACTACAGACTAATGTGAAGCATAATTTCTCAGATATCAGTATATCTGATTATTGATGCTAACAAATCTAAATGATGACAAAACATTCTTGGCACACATCTGATTTAAAACTAAAATTTTCTTAGTTTGGCACCACCATCTGGATTACATGTTTTAACAGAGATATATCTAGTTTAAACAAAAGATTTAACCACAGCCAATGAATATAGGCCTCAAACACACATATCCAACAGCAAATAGTAACTTCTCAGTTCCAAAGATGGACTGTATACACTTCTAACCAACATGACATAGTCATTGAGAGATCACAAAAACAAGTCATTTCTATTAACCTCATGAAATAACATGAATCAGTAAAACATACCTGGTAGTATATTTTGGCAGTGGCATCTCTATCACAACTGTGTTTGCTGAAATATTTGTGGCAAACTCAGCACTTACTTTGAGAATCACTTCAGCCTAAATTTCAAAGAGAAGAATAGAGGACAAGAAGTAATCTCAAAATTTGGACTTCAGTTTGGAGATTCTAAACAATTAAGGAGGCTGAATTCAGCAAGTTCTACATTATCTAATATTCTAGTAAGAATGAAATGTTCACCTTAAGAGATCCTGCCTCTTCAATCAGTGCATTGATACGGAAAGGAGGCTTGAATTCCTTGGTCATTCGGTAATTCATAACAGGGAATTCACCATCTGGTGGAACCTAATACCAGAGCACGATGTAATACTTAAACAACAGGAAATGAACAAATTATCTCAAATCTAAATACAGTTTCAAGCCAAACAGCTCCTTCAACACTTACCAGAGTCAAAGTTCTGTCTATGTCAAAACTATCAAGATGAACAGACTCATGAAAATTGCAATCATCAAGTATCACACTTCCTGACCCATATGAAGTCCTATAATCTGTTATAGCAGCACACACTGAGATGTCAAGGCTAAAGATTGAGAGGGAGATAGAGATTGAAAAACAAAGTGGACAGGAAATGATGCTGAAAAAATTAAGAATTAATATGAGAGATATTGTTATAAATCCTCAAACAAGTAAGTGACTCACTTAGAACAAATATCAGATCAAGAAAACCTTCTGAACAATTGCGGCTGAACAGTTTGAATTTAACTAATCAAGAACTTTATAATCTAAACAATTATTAACTTTATGCTTTCCTAAGTTGCAACGATCTAAATTCATACATGTACATATAAGATTATAAAAAGAATAATCATTTAAATACTAGGAAGGGCATTATGAGTAGTACCATATGTTGATGTCCCCCCTCGTCCTATGCTCAATTCATCATTAAGAGCTAATCGGATTTCTGGATTGCCAGACAGGTAACTCTTCATTTGAATGGTGCCGTCAATCTCAGAGGTCAATATATATCCCTGTTAATTATATGTTTGATATATTAAAAATTCTGAATGCAACGTGTAAAATCCGATTAAGGAGTAGAAAATTAGTTCCTTCTAATCATTTAATAGAAATGCAAGTATGAGCAAACAGATGTGTTTACTCACACTAGAGCTGAATGTGACACTGATCTTTTCTATTATATCTACAAAAATTTCTTCTCTCTTCCGGCCCCCAGGTTCATTTGCCACAACAGATTTTGTCACAGCTGTTCCAGGCATTCTCTTAATCCCTTGCTACATGCATCCAAGTTCCAGGGATCAGTCACAATAAATATGGAAAATTTAATTGCAAGTGAATAATCAGAGATTGGAATACCCTAAAGATGGCAGCAGGATCAAGAGTTTGTAGACGTGCAGCACTGATCACAATGGGCTCATTAAACACATAGGATTTCAACACTTCAGTGGATGTTGTTTGCACATAACCAAAGTCCTGGTCAAAGAACATAAGCAGTCATATTACCATAAAGCTTTTCCTGAACTGCAAATTATGCACACCAAACAATATTTCACCGTCTAGGTGGCAACAAAATTAGAGAAATTTTTGGGAAAACATTTCGTTAACAGTCTACAGCCAGAAGGTAGACAAGGAACAGACCGAGATAATATTTTAAAGTGCAATCCATTTTGATATGCATACCTACATCAATTGCTACAACAAGAAAAATTAGTTACCCAAATGAAGGAGCAGCAGAATCACCATGGCACCTATTTTCATCATGCATGTGGATGACATAGCTATGGGATATGGCCTTGAGGTTGATAGAGCAGACTGGGCTTTGGTAGGAAGAATCACATTTATGAGATCTGTCCTTGTTTATATAGCCTACTCAGATTCCCTATACATGAATCACATCTTCATGACAGAAAGATGAGAGCTTTATTGAGGGGTTAGGAAACCACCCTATATAGGGTCAAGATAGCTCTTTTGCCCTAACACTAAATGTATGTTTCACTTGTTATGTTCTAACTGATAAAGGAAAGCTGGTGGATCTAGCAGAGATTTTGACACGTGTATAACTGTATGCCAATAGATTACTTTACATGGGTATCACCCTCTACTGGCGGCAGTGCTATGTGATGTTTCCTTCGAGACAAAAGAAGGATATTATTATACACAAGAAACCTGGGGATTGCCTTAGGGTTACGCGAATGATACTTTCTTTACATGTATGTGCATGGATGCAAACTCCCAAAGAAGAAAATATTAGGATGTGATGCAACTAAAAAATCCCTGAAATTTTAAAAGAAGGTAAAGAAAAAGACAAATACTAACCAGATTATAAATCCAGATTTTTTCAATAGGAAACTTACAATGACTTCGTCAAGCAACTCATAGACAAGAACAAAGTTTTTCCTAAGTGAATCTTCATTGAGAACACCAAGATAATCCTTAATAACACGAGCAATCCTTTGTAGAAGCTCCAATAGAAGAGAAGGTGATGCATTAACTCTTGTGGTTGCAACAAACAACAGTCCAACAACCTTCACGTGGAAGTAGTTAACGCCATCCACATTCTATCAACAAAAATGAACAAAGAAAAAAAAAACTAATTAGCAAAGTTCACTAAAGTGATACTAATTCACATAACCAATCAAGTACCACACGGGTGATAATGAAAATCACATCACATATAAGAGCTATTTGCAATAAAACAAAAAAGATCCTTGAGGATAATATAAATGGTTGTGAGATGGGCAAGAGAAGTCATCATCCACAATGCACAATTCTTAAAATTTGACTAGTGATGCAAACCCCTGAAAGTCCTAGTTGTTTTTCCTTTTCATCATTTTGATGAGATATGAGAAAGAAATAATACCAATAGAGGAAATCCACAATGCACAATTCTTAAAATTTGACTACTGATGCAAACCCCTGAAAGTCCTAGTTGTTTTTCCTTTTCATCATTTTGATGAGAAATGAGAAAGAAATAATACCAATAGAGGAAAAATGAACATCCCACATAGAGGACATAGATCTAATTCTCTCTTCTAATCAGTGTAATACTTTGCTTGGAGATAAGAGAGTAAATTCCATCTTGACAAAATACAAGGAAACTTTAAAATCTAGACTTTAGCCAACTGCTTGATCCCATGTTTTAGCTCTGCATACGAAATCAGATTATTTAAACTAAGTACCTGCAGTAAGGACCTATCAAGTAAGATTAGGAAAAAAACAACAATATGGTCTTCTGCTTAATAAATGCCAAAATGATAGCAGACATGAAGTTAAATAGTTAACTGTCTCACATTATTTGGTAAGATATACCTACAAAGACAGGTGGTGCCTCCTCTTGTCCATCCTCCTTCCAGAACTTGACTTTGCGGAAAAAGATCTCCGTACTTCCTTTTGGTACCTCACCACGATCTGCAGTGACAAAGTATGTATCAGTACAAGGAGATGTAGCTTTCATCTTTTTTTTTTAAATTCAGTAAAAACGCCTAAGAATTCCAGTTTCTGTTTTCTAGAAACCTACAGCGTGGTCAGTGGGAGAAGATTGAAAAAAGAAAAACAAAGGGGGGGAAATCAAGGAGAGAGAAAAACTGGTTAGCTGAGCCAAGTTAGATTAAGAAATAAGCAGAAACATAATGAAGAGAAAATGCTAATAGCATTATGATTTATCTTAATTCCATATGGTACATTACATGGGAATAAAAGAGGGTCAAACCAGAAAATTGTGTCCAAAGATATTGACTTAAATCACTGTTAAAATATGCTGAATGAGATATTATGGCAGTTAATATGTACTAGAATGCAGTATGCCATTAAACCGACACTTAAACTCAACTAAGATAATAAGAAAGTTAAACTTCTAACATGTCAACTCAATAAAGAGATGGAAGCTTTTGCGCCACAGAGTTCAGTGTCAAAAGGAACTAAACTCTAATGACAAGAGCATTCATGGTTTTCTGAGGGGACAAAACATGAGAAACGCTGCTGTGATCAACGGCAATCTCTTAAGCATCTTAAAGCATGAATCCACAACTAAGCTAGTACTTTTGCAAAACATGAGAAACATTGCCGTGTTCAACGGCAATCTCTTAAGCATCTTAAAGCATGAATCCACTACTAAGCTAGTAATTATGTAAAATCCACAAATTGGTTATTGCAACCCCAAAAGGACCCTGATCTGAAGTGACCTCGGTAGCGAACTGCAAGAAATCACGATCTAACTAATTGAAACACTGGACCAAACATTTCTGATTCAAATATCTTCCACTGAATTTCCAAATAGGGATAAAACTAAGGCATATACAACGGGAAAGCCAAAAGGTTTGGACTGATTACGAGATGATAACTCAAATCGGCCAGCTTAACGACAGGAAAATTGTTCAGTCAACACAAAGTTATTGCACAAAGATGACTCACGACACAAGATCTCTATTAATCCGAAAAAAATTCTGCTGAAACAACCCGAAAATTCAAGGCGTAAACAAGAAACAAGAATTGATTTTTTTTGGGGGAAAAAAAATCACAATATGCATGAGATCTAAAGACATAACGAAAGGGGAAGAGAACTCACAATCGCGAAAAACGATATTATCGCCTCGCTGAGACAAGACGAAGAACTGCGAGATCATGATTTCTGTATCTGAGCTCGGCTGCGCTTGATATCTTCGAGTCTATTCTATGTATCTCAATTGTGTCTTCCTATTTCGTTTAAGAACTTGGATGATCAGAAATTTGCACTCATAGCTTTTTCACTGTATATTTACATCAATGTGTTGGGTGTGGGATTTTTAAATATATATATTTTTTATTTATGCACAGATCTATATATTGCAGAAAATGATATTTTAGTAAATAAATATAATTAGACTTTCTTTAAAAATAAAAATATTTTGTAAACAATTTAAAAAAACTCTCTCTCCCATTCTTGTTGTGTTATTCAATTAGATAAATTACGAAATTACTATATTAAATTTAATGTTTATTAAAAATTAGTTCTTAATATCTTTTATAATTTAATTTTAAAAATTTTACATATGTTTTAAAATTTTAATTTATATTTTTATAATAAAAATTAAAATAATTAATTTATATTTAAAAAGTTTAAGAAATAGTTTATTTTAAAATTTTAAAAACAATTAACATTAACTATTTTTTCAGTTTTTTGAACTTTTTAATTATTTCAAAATTAAGAAGAAAAATTATTTTTAAATTATGTAAAAAATAATTTAACTATTTTAATTTTTTAATTAAAAATAAGTAAAAATTAAAAAATATATATATATATAAAACGTGGATATCAAATTACGATTAAAAAAAATTAGAGACAAACTGTATAAAGTTAAAATTAATTTTGAGAATTAATTTAGCAAATTCCTATTTTATTATTTTTTGATATTTATATTTAAAATTCGTGTTGAGTTAATTTTATAATAGTATTTTGACTTAGAGTCATGTCAAATATGGATTTATCACCTGAACCCATATATGTATATATAAATATATCTATATGTAGTAACTGAAGAAAGAAAAAAAAAGGGGGGGAGGGAACGATGTCGTTTTGATGAGGCAGGTGATGTATAAATAGGAGACGAGAAAGAAAAGAAAGAAGGAAGGAAAAAAAAAGAAAAGAGAAAACAGAGAAGGGAGAGAGCGGGGAGGAGAAAGAAAGAGAAAAGAAGGTTCGAAAAAGAGAGAGAGGGGAGTCGGAGCGAAGAGGAACGAGAAGGAAGAGAGAAGAAGAAAGAGGACGGTGACAGTGCAATCAGCGGGAGGAAGGAAGATAGAAATGGGAGATACGGTAATTTTAAGTTTCTTATTAGTTGATGTGGATTTGAAATTTGCTGTAGGTGGAAGAGCTGTGTGAACGTGAGTGGAGGCGTATAGAGGAGGTTAGACCGCGGAAGGAGAGAGATAAAAAATTATGGAGTAGAAGAGAGGTCTGTGAGGGAGAGGTGAGGTCGTGCGTGAGAGAGGGCGTATGGAAGAGGTTGGGCCGCGGGATGAGGTAAAGGAAGGAGTGCGGTGTGTGTGAGTGCGGTTTGTGAGGGAGAGGAGCTATTGTGTGTGAATGAGGGCGTATGGAGGAAGTTAGGTCGCGGGAGGAGAGAAAGGAAGGAGTGCGGTGTGTGTGAGTGCGGTCTGTGGGGGAGAGAAGCTATTGTGTGTGCGTGCGGGCATATGGAGGAGGTTAGGCTGCGGGAGGAGGAAAAGGAAGGAGTGCGATGTATGTGAGTGCAGTCTGTGAGGGAGAGGAGCTATCGTGTGTGAGTGAGGGCGTATGGAAGAGGCTAGGCCGCAGGAGGAGAGAAAGGAAGGAGTGTGGTGTGTGTGAGTGCAGTCTGTGAGGGAGATGAGCTATTGTGTGTGAGTGAGGGCGTATGGAGGAGGCTAGGCCGCGGGAGGAGAAAAAGGAAGGAGTGCAGTGTGTGTGAGTGCGGTCTGTGAGGGAGAGGAGCTATTGTGTGTGAGTGAGGGTGTATGGAGGAGGCTAGGCCGCGGGAGAAGGGAAATAAAGATGTGTAGGGCATTAGTGAGATGATTTTAGGATTTGAGGGTAGAGTATCTAGAGTAGGCCGTGGAGGGGGAGAGAATGAGAGATTTGGGAAGTGAGGTAAATATGTGTAAGGGAGAAAGTAGGACGTGTGGACGTAGAAAGTTTGGGAGGAGAAAAGAGAGGCCGTAGACCGTGGAAATGAAGTATCAGTATGGAGGTGTGGGGGTGTCTCTGTGTAGGACGAGTGGATGTGTGGGGTAGCTGTATAGTGTGAGGGTATGGGTCGTGTATAGGTTGGTATAGCTGCTGTAAATTTGGTAGTTGGCAAGGGAACATTGCAGGTGTGGGTATGTTGAGTGTTGTGTGTGCTTTATGGGGAGAGGGATGTAGTTTAGGTACACAGGTTAAAAGTATAAGAAAGCTTCAAGATAAGGTGGGGGAGTAAGGACAAGATGATGTTGTGTTGGGTCGGGAGCATCGGGGGATGCCGATATTGGTTGTCGCTACCTAGGAAAAGTAAGTTGATCGCCGATGGTGGTGATGGTTGGGAGACTCCGATGAGAATGGATTTGGTCGCCGATATTGGTGACGGTAAAGGATGGTATTTTTGTATGTGTGAGTGGCCTATTAGAAGTCGAGAGATAGGTGGTTTATTGGTGGTCGCTGATCTTGGTGACGAGTGTGAATATTTGTATGCTCGGGGTAACGTCGGGGGATGGTCACACATGGTATGCATGGTATTTAGGATACCGAGTTACGTTTTAGTCCTGCGTAGTCTTATAGTGATGACAAGGTAAGCTTATGTTGGATTTCATATTTGGTGCATATCATAATTGTAACTTAATTTTTATTGTACTGAGTTTTATGAACCCACCCTCTATTGTTCACAGACGATGTAGGAATGGAGTCGGGATCGGAGTTGCTAGTTTCTGAGTTTAGCGTTTAGAACAACAGAAAAAAGATCTTTATGGACAGATTGAATGTGTAAAAGTTAGTAGTAGACTTGATAATATGTCTGTTGATAGTGTATACGGCTGTATTTCACGTTACGTTATATGTATGATTGCCGATGTATCTTAACTCTGAACAATAAATTGTGATGGTATTTTTATGTATCTGTCTGACTTGAAACGAAATTTTTGTATTTAATTATAAATTTGTTGTAAACTACGCTATTAAAAATTAAAAAAAAAATGGGGTGTTATATTATATATTAAATATGATCTAACATAATTTTTGTTTTCTTTACATGAGGATGGAGTGAAAAAGAAAATGATGGATTATCAGCGCCAGATTGCCCCGTCTTTGACAGAGTATTTGGGCTTAGACCCATCTTGATCATCACAATCAATATCAACCGTCCATTTCTCAAACGTGCAGTTGAAGAAATCATAGTATCCTCCATGGACGGACAGTAAACCTCTTCTTGCCCTATCTTTAATCCATGGGTAGCTTAACAAATTCACTAAAGAACCTTTCACCGATTCCTGTTTACAAGTAACTTCCTATTAATATTTTTAACAATAATCGAATAATAAAATCCATTTTTAATATATTTAAAATTAAAATTTACAATATTTACCTTCTAATTTTATTAAAAATTTAAATTTAATATTTCAAAAATCATTTTCATCTAACACACAACTTATATTTTTTATAAAAAAAATAATATTTTTTTTTTAAATTATTTCTATCAAACACTAAATAATTTTTAATTAACAGCTACTATAGTATGTTCTTTTAAAATTTATACTACTGAGTTATAATTATTTAAATATCCATTAATTTTTTTGGAATTTTACGTAATTTATTTTAATTTTTTATTATAATAATTGTAATAATAAACATTGGAATAATTAAAAAAAAATATAGTACCTTCTCGCAATGTCTGCATTGTTCATCAAAGCTAAGGTGATTTGCTTGGCGTTTTGTTTTTAACTTGGCGACATTTCCTTGAAAAACCCACCTATGAATAAAACTATATATATATGTATATATATAGATATATATATACCCACAACAACAAAAAAAAAAACGTTATTTTATAAGTGAAATTTACAATAATCACAATAAGCTAAATGGAATTCTTTGTCAAAAGAAAGCTACAATAAATTTGCGAGAAATGTGAATTTGTGTGCGTGTGTAACGTATACATGTATATTTTATATATGTATGTATGTATGTGTGTGTGTGTGTGTATGTATTCTCAATTATTTTATGCAAAACCTTGAATCATGATCCTCTTGCATGCTCATGAGGCTTTGAATCCCTCCACAGCTGCTGTGACCGATGATTAATATGTTTTCTACCTACAGAAACATCAACATACATAACCCTTTGATCACACGTATAATCGCTCATGCTCATGTATGTCTCATATATACATATACACACATGTATATTTACTGCAAATTATCAGTTTCAGCTAGTTACTTACTTCAAGAGTATTTACTGCAAATTCAAGTGCAGCGTTAGTTTCTGATGGGCCATTCTAGACAAGAAAAATTAAAGACAATTAAAAAACTTGGTAAAAATTTAATTTCTCCGTCCATAGTTACATATATATATATATATGTGTGTGTGTGTGTGTGTGTGTGTGTATACCTCAATTGGAGGGACAAGATTGGCAATATTGCGAACCATAAAGGCTTCTCCTGGTTGAAATCCGAGGATATTGGAAGGGCAAACCCTAGAATCTGCACAAGCTATTACCATAAACTGTTCTTCCGATATGTGAGTTCAAACAGAAACCAAAGCAGAAAATTACAAAAGGAAATAACAGATTAGGATTTGTCTTGCTTGAACCAGATGAATTTGGAATGAATACCTTTGGGGATTGAGCTTCGGCAAGTGCACGAAATTGTTCAAATTGTTTTCTGTTCAAAATTGAAATTAAATCATTTTTTAAAAAACAAAAACAATTTTGCTCAAAACAAGGAAGAAGGAACGGAGTCTCGATTTAGTACATACAGATATTTGTGCTTCTTGAAACTCAGAAATCTGTGTTTCAACACGTCCCATCCTAATCGAGTACTGTTGCTATCTTTGATTAGTTCTATCTGCGAAAAATCAGATCAATCAGTCGAGAATTATGCGTAAAATGATTTGAAACAATGAAGAAATGAAACGGAACAGACAAAAGAAAGAAACTCACTTCGTCGGACCTTCTGCTAAGAAATTCAGAAGAGGATAAAGCTCGAGAAGAACTATGGCGGCAGATGGCTGTTACTGCTGAAACTATCAGTAGAGGATTGGAGCCTGAATTGAAGTTTTTACAGCATAGAAATATTTCACTCACTGAGTTGATGACAATCGTTCTTGCTTTGACTTTACCGAGTCTAATTCTATGAAAAACTCAATCCGGTTTACAAAAGTATTCTGAAAAAACAAAGAAGACAAGTTTGTACTCACGAGTTAACCAGGCCATCCCTTTGTTTAATGACTCAGCATCTGGTGAGTGCACTCGAACTTTCAAAGGAGAACCGATGATTACCCAGTCTCCATGGATTATACATACATATGTTTATATATATTCTTCCAAGAAGATTGGATTAATATTTTATTAAATAAAGCGTCACGTCTTATCACTATTTCACATCATTTTCAAACTACAATATTTCCTTCTTCAAAAAAATTCATTTTTTATGAATTAATTTTCCATGTAAAATTCTACACACAGTATCTTTGGCTAAAATAATAATGTAGTTACTTTTATTTAAATTTATCTTATATACCTTAATTTTTTGTTGTGTTACTTTTTAGTGTTATGTATCAATTTTATTGATACATAACATATTTTAATTAATTTAAATTATAGTTAAACACCAAATTATATAATACTTGATATTTAAATGTGATAATTATTTATATCTAAATCGATTTAAATGAAATAAAAAAATTATAATTTCTTTTAAATTTCAAAAAATGCATCCTTTTTTTTTCCTGTAGGAGTTGCATAACACAAGAACATTGTTAAATAACCTTACGAGAATAATATTCACCATAATTCACACAAAAAAAAAAAAAAAAAAACTCAGTCAAAATTCATAACAGTTTTTTACATGTTTTTTCCCTCAACATGTAAAATACTAACCAAGTGGATTTTATATATGCACTTATATACCTAATTTAAAATAAATATTTAAATTTTAATTATTTTTTAAAGTATTATTTGAGAAAAAAAATAAGGTGATTGACATTATTGGTCCACGTGTAAGAGGATATGGTGTTATATTACATTTTTTAGTGCTTAGTTGTATGCGAACCGACTCCTCACGCAACGTAGTTAGACCACAAAATTCTTAGTTGGCTTCCTGAACATTTTCACACAATTTCAACTTTTATTATTTAATTATTCTAACCCAAAAAAAAAAAAAAAAGAAAAAACCCTGCTTATGTCAGCAATTCTTATCTACATCCAAACTGATCTGTCGGTTTGATCTCATGACCTTAAAACGCAGCGTTTCAATCCTAGATACAACCCCATATTCCCTCCTCCCCTCTTCAGTTTCCATTTCTTCTCGTGTAAAATTTGCGCTGTTCAGAAATTTCAAACAATCAAATTCTCACCGTTGTTCATCCACGATTACCAAAGGACCCACAAATCCGAGCCCGTTTATCATATCGGGGCATACCCGAACCCGGCACCCGATTCTCAACGACTTCTCTCAAAGCCCGTTTCAAGGCCTCAATCTCCTTCTCCCCATTACCGGCCCATTGCGTCACCACCACGCTCTTGATCCGCCCACCAACCGTCATCATATCGGCTCGAACCGGTTTAGCTCGACAAGACCGGAAAGCTCGACCCAAATCCCTGTTCAGACCGGGCCGGTCCTCGCAACAAAGAGTTGCCTTGACGAGTCCCGTTGCCCCACCGTCGCAGTTACTCAGCGTCGCTTCGTCCAATTCCCCGGGAAACGGCCACGTCGACGGGTCAGGCTCCAATCCGTTTCCATCTAAATTCCGCCGTGCCACGTCAGCGGCCTTACGTTTCAGCTCGCGCACGTGATGCACCACCTCCGCCAGCAACGTCGCTTTGTCCGTCTGCAGCACGAGAATCCCATAAAATTACCGTAATGCCATCGTCACAAGGCTAAAATGACAGGTGATAAAAAACGACTGCGTACTGACCTTAGTGGTGTCAGGAAGAAGAGAACGAAGAGTGGAGAGATGAGCGTTGATTCTCTGCCTGCGTCTCCTCTCTGCTTCCTTGTGACTCTTGCATGCTTCCGTCGTTGACTTCTTCTCCGAACTCGCGACAGAAACGTCGTCATTTCGGCCATATTCACAGTAGCACGACGACCTAAAAGGGTCCATCTCCATTTTCCTCCGGTTGATGAAGATAACGGGCAGAACTTATAAAATACGGAAACAATACATATAGTGAACGGAAAAGGGTCTGTGGGACTAAAGAATACTGCTCATCAGTGGGAGTGGAAAGAGTATGAAGAAGAAGGGAACTGTGAGTCAAACTCGAAGTAAACCAGAGAGAGAGAGAGATGACGACGATGATGATTACTGTTATATATAAAGAGAGAAAATTAATGGGTGAGCGAGCCCGAGACAGAGTTTTATAGGAGAATGAAAAGTAGGAGGAAGGAACAAATCAAGCATCCATGGGTTATTTCGAAGAGCGTGTCTGGTGTAAAGAGATAGAGGAAGAAAGCCAACAGGGAGAAAAACAAAGAGAAAAACAACAAGAGTGGTGAGTTGGTGACCTCAGTACTCGGTTTTCTAGTTAGATGGTATTAATTTTGACAAAATAGATAATTAGCGTAGTTAATTTGTTTTCACGAGTGGTTTTTGGGCAACGAAACGACTTTAGTTTTATATAAATTGTGTTTTAAAATCTTGTCGACCGTCAATGGGATCACGGGAACTTTGATTAATATTCTTAGACAAAAGTGCATAGGCATTATAATACATACATATATATATATATGTACAGCTACGTAGCCCAAAAAAAAATATGTAACATAATAGGTTTTTTGGGTTGAAAAGATATTTGATCTTGTATATACATATTTGCAGGAAAATTTGGTACTAAGAGATATACAAAAATTAAAGGAGTTAAAAGTATATTTGCGGGAATCGTCTCGTACATTGCCATCAAGGCCCCAGTGATCTTATTAAATTGTCTCATGTTTTAAATTATTTGACATACTTGTTTTACCTTGACAATTACGTTTGACCGTTTGACACGGGAAATTAAAACTCTCTCTTTTTGTGTCTTGTTTTCTTTTCCCTATTCACTATTAATTCTTTTAACACAATTGTTCGAGACTGCCATCTAGTTATATACATACATAATGTATACCAACAATAAATAATTTAACACTAAAAACCTTATTTATATATTTGTTTTAATTCGGAATGTGATGTTAGTATTTATATTTATTAGAAATTTAAAATTTGTAATTTGTTAAATTAATATTTGGGACTAAACTTTAGATTTTTTGTCATTTAAATATTTAATAAAATTGATTAATTTATTTATTTGTTTATTATTATAAATATTAACTAGTTTTGAAATAATCATTTTCGAAATTATGCAATTATAAGAATTGACTGTTTCACGACCTGGCCGACAGCTTTGAATGACAGCAAGCAGAGGACGATCGCCGACGTCGTTTTAGCTCATTAGGTTCCAAACCTATTTTAAATTTTAATGCCTTGACTTCATTCTTAATTTATATCTTAAATCCAATAAATAAATAAAAAAAAAAATGTATTGATTATTATCTTAAATGTTCCTCACTTCATACACAATTAATTACTAAAAGAATAAAATTCTAATGCATATGTAGTTTTATTCTATCATAATTAATTATTATTTTTTGTTTGAATAAAAAAATATTTACAAAATAAAGAAGACCGATACACAGAGGAGAATAAGAATAATATCACAGAAATTTAAAAAAAAAAAAAATTAAAAAGAATAAAAGTCTAGTGACTATAATAATTCTATTTTATTTAAATGTCACAAAATTAATTTTAATAAAAACATAAAATATACTAATTCATAAGTATATTATAAATTGGTTGCGGTTGACAATAATGCTCTATTTTAGAAAGTGAAATAATATTTACTAGCATTTTTGTAGAATTAATAAAGATTAAATTAAATTAAATTAAATTTGAGCAAATAAAAAAAAAAAAAAAAAAAAAACTTTATAGTGTTTAAATTATTTGTAATGGAAATAACCAATATAATTTTTGACGTCGGAAAAAAGAAGGGGACAAAAGTGTAGAGGGGACGTGTGAAAGTGTAGGGTGGGGGCCAGACAATGGGAGAAGGAAGGTGAGATCAGTATCTATGTCAGTGTAGCATCCAAGAATCTCCACAGCAATACCATTTGGAATTGGCTTCTCAGCAGCAGTCCTTCATTTTTGGCGTCACTTGTTTTTAATAACTTGTGTGTTAAAGTTTTTCAGTTTTATTCATTAATTAATTATAATATAAATAATTTTTAAATAAACGTTTTGAATTTATAATTTCTTAAAATAAATGACATATAAAATATTTAATTGGGTTACAACATAACCCATTTTACCCTCTTCTTCTTCTTTTTGTGTGTGTGTAAATTATGTTTCAGAAAAGAAAAAGTAGGAAGCAATCCCAAGAGCTTGACAAATGGGGATGTAATGTCTGTAGTTCTACATTCCAAAGTTGGGGAATTTAAAAAAGCTAACAGAGAAAAAACATAGAGACAAAAAAGAAAAGCAGAGAAGGAAAGAAAGAAACATGTTTTCAGTAAGCAGCAAATTGGAGGCTCCTTTCAAGGCAAGGAATCTCCCCAACCCAACTCTACTAAAAAGCTGCTCTCTCTACCCTGTCGTTTTATGCACATGACACTATTTATTTACTTCCACAAATATTTTTGCACCATTTCCTCCTTCCAACCACGAAGAAATATTTACTGAAAGCTAACGACTTCTTTTCAACCATGAAGATTTTTAATTTTTTGAAGTTGTTTTAATCCTATTTAATTTTAACTAATAGATTTTCAGAAAGGTAAGTAATCTAAAAAAAAAAAAAAAAGATCCAAATTAAATTTATGTCTAATCGCCTCATTCTTGTTTGGTATAATTTAAGTTTAAACCAAAATAAAGTAAAAATAAACCAGCTAAATTCTTCCCTCTCACCTTCTGCAGCTACAACCAGGAGATTGGCTAATGAATTATATGACAAAAGACAGACAGGCTACTCAAATGCCAAACCAACCATATCCTATGATCAAAATACCATATTTCTACAATTTTTATCCAAACAAATTTTGGATCAAAATGAAAGCACAATATTAAGAATGTGAAGAAGAGAGTCTGAGACATTCGCTCTGGCATCTCCGAAGGCAGATGTCGTTCCAGTTTGGTACCTGATGCTGGTTAACACAAACGGTACGAGCACAAGCATCAGAACATGCATCGAGCTCCGATACACCACAAACAGTGACACAAGTATCGGGAATTGGGTCTTTAGAGAATGCCCCAACCTTCTTCAACATTCTCTTCGATGTACAGACCCTCTCGCAGACAAATATGTCATCGGAACTCTTCTCCCTCCCCCTGGCACTCTTAATTCTCTGTTCCTCAGCTCGTTTCTTCTTCATTCTAAAAGCTTGACCAGCAACAACTGCTGGGATAGCAGCCCCCAAGAGGGACCACCACACTTCCACCATAATAAAGTATTATTCAGGCTGCAATCCTATTTCTCGTTTATACTGCACAATTTAACACAATAAGAATGCACCAGTTAGCAATCTTTGTATATAGAGAGACTAAAAACTACGAGATGCAACCTTTTCAACATAAAGAAGGTTTAACCTTGTGACTGCATTTCCTGTTAAAAGAAATGCCAAAACAAGGTTCAATTCCAAATATTACTAAAATTGTGATGTATTTGTCAGTTACAAAATCCCAAAGGCAAATGGGGTCTAAGAAACAAGTATGTTATTATACTTGAGCTGGATTTAGGTCAAAATCTTGATCTTAATCTTTCATAGTACAAACAAGATTAGAATAGAAATTTCATAAAGGTTGAAGTGGGAATAGCTTAGTTCCTTGCTAATTCAGATTAATTAGATATGTACGTCCTACCTAACCATGTAAGAACAGAAATCTAACACTGGTGGAATTCAATATTAATCAAATATGAAAATTGTAACTGAATCTTATATAATAAGTTATTCAGGCCACTGGATAATAAAACCTGAGCCAAAACTGCTAATGTTCAACTTGGTCCTCAAACATTAAAAGTAGCATTGTGAAACTAAAGAATCAAAACCTTTGAATCACATGGACCTGTCGATACATTAGTCCGCTGTGTGCCACCAGAACTACTGAAGTTTCTTCAGGTAATAACTTCAAGTAGCAAAGTTTACTTACAACCAATAAGGAATAAAAGGAGAGCACATCTAAAGTTATTACCACTTGATATTGTGAAGGAAAGGTTACATACAAGACCAAGTGCCCAACCACATCAAAACAGTCAACCAAACCAACATGTTCTAAAAAACGCATCAAACGCATATTATCAACATGAATGCCCAAATACCACCAGCATCACTACAATGATCTTACTACTTATTAATTTCCTTTTTTTTTTCTGTTAATGGATATTTTAATTCATGATCATGCAAAACATAAAACCAGTAACCAACTTCTACCATTGTACTTATCTAATCTTAAAACATTATACAACCTTCTTTTCTAACAATCAAGTTTAATATATTGGAAATGAAGTAACTAAAGATTTAAAAGTTACAAAAAAGTACAAGATTCAATTGAAAAAAAAAGCACCTCTATCCATCTAAAGATATACACTTTATTAAAATAAACACACTAAAAGACACAGATGAAAAAGTCTTTTCGTATCTGTGAATTAAATCAACATCTACCACTGACCAGAATGTCCTTATCCATAACTTCACAAGAACGAAAAGAGAAACGAGCGAAAACCATGCATAAGTTTTAAACAGAAGAACAAAGAGCAAGAAATTAATGGAAGTACTAAATGCAAGTCCAGCCATTACCAACAAGCCATGCATGAAACTTTAATCAGAATAGAAAAATTTTGAAGAAAAATAAAAAAACTAGACATTAAAACTAGAAATGATTTACACAATTAGAGTTTACTTTTTCAGAGTAACAAAGGCATAAGCAATTAAGCAAAAAAATATGGCGGATTTAAAAGCTGAATGGGCTCGCTTCATAGTTCTCACTGGGTTGAAGGTGAATCACCCTAACCACACGCATGCCGACGTGCACACATATGCACACATGCTCACACACAAGTAGACACGTGTGCGCACACACAATCTTAATGGCATCAACATATGACAAGGTGACATGAGTTACATGTACACATGACACTACCATAACAACTTACAACAAAATAACAGGATCACGATGAAACAGTGATAAGGTCGGTGGAGGCAGCAAGAGAAAATGAATTGCACGAAACTGTTTGCCTGAGATTTAATTAAATAATATAGACTTGTCCAATCTCTGGAACATGGAATGGACAGAACAGAAAGAAGGACCCCCCCAGAACAAGTACTGAAAACTATCTATACATACATATAGACACACATGTTAACTGACTAGGCAAAACAAAAAGTTGGACAACTGGACTATCTGTGTACATGTAAATGCTGAAAAGAAACAATAGAAACTGTGAAGTACAAAAGACTATATAGAGACCTGTCTGTCTACGTATATACAATATATCCAAGCAAATGAAGATTGGGCCAATGCACTAACCAGTCTAATAACTTCACTGAAAAAGTCACGGTATATAAGATCCAAGAAAACCAAATGTTAATATCGGTAAGACCATCGTATGACATTTAAGAAACAGCCCTCATTTGCAGAACAAAACTATTCAGTTCAACGCAAAAGCTCAAAACTTAAAAGCGATTAACAATTTCAGAACGCATCCATTACAGACAGAACATCTAGTTAATTAAGAAACTCTAAACAGTCACCGAGCAGCTCAGTCAAAACCTAAACTCGTTTCCCCACGAATTCAAGGCCAACCAGTAAGTTTCAGTGTAACCATATCCAACATAATCTTGTCGCCAACAACAAAAGAACGAGCATTCGAAAATGCAATTGAAAAAAGTCTTCCATCAAAGCAAAAAAAAAAAAAAAAAAAAGAAGAAAAAAACAGAGATTAAATGTTTTCGAAAATCAAAGGCTAATAGAAGAACCGAAAAAAGTAAACTTAATTTCGATCTTGTTTTTTTATGGATGAACTAAGAGAGAAATGGAGCGAAAGTTTTACCTCTGAGAGTAAAATCTGGGGAGAACTCCTTTGGCTGCAGATGCTCGAATCGCTCTACTCGTCGGAGAAGGGCGGAAGTCGAGCCCGACTTCCGATGAGAGCTTGAAGAGAAGATTGGGTTTGCTTTGGAAGAAGAATAGGTCTAAAAGGGGTCGGGTTTGGTAGTTTGGGCTATTTCTTGGGCTTTAGAAAGTAGCATTGGGCTTCATGAAGACATGAGAAAGTTCTCACATTTTAATTTTTAAAATTTTATTATATATAAATATTAAAATTAAACTAAAAAAATTTATTTCTCATAATCTAAAATTAATAATTACAATTAAGTTTTTAATAAATTCATGGTATACAAGATTACTTACAAGAATTAGGTTTTTTTTTTTTTTAAAAAAAATAATAATTAATCATAATTTTTATTTTTTTATTAATTATAAGAAGTATATACCAAAAAGGCTTTGAGCCAATTTTACTGTAATATTTTTTATTTTAATTTGAATTTTTCTGATGAGTTGACTTTCTATATTTTATTTTTTGAATTATAAAAAAATTTGGATTGGGCTATACTCCTATATATATAGATATATATATATCATCGATATGGATAAACATTTGAAAACATCATCTAACAGTTATCAATTGCTTCAAGGATTTAGGCATATAAGCTATAAACTGCTTTGCAGTCCCACATGGAACAAATGTTGAATTGCAAAGTCAGATGATACTGGACATTTTCAGCATTCGAATATGACAAGGAAAAGAAACTGAGTCTGCCTAATTGGAAAATATTATAATCTAACATTTAAAATATTAATAGTAACCCTTGTCGAATCTTGAACTTACGATAGCAGTAGCTACAAAAATTTTCAGATTCAAATGAACAGGAAAAATTATACTAGATTTACCCGATGCCAGGCAGCAAATTAATCTTATACCTAGTTTTTCTTTTTTACCCAAACGGTTGGGCCATCAGGCATAAGCCTTACAACAACAGGATATCACACTGAACACGGTACATGAACAAGCCGAAAACGGCTTCGTTAAGAAACCACAGAAAGTTTTTGGGAAATTCTTCTGCGCTCCGACAGTTAATGGACAAGAAGTAACTCAGCACCAAATGGGTTGATCAAACATCCTGCCACCAGGACAATAAAACTTTTGTTTATCATAAACTCAAGCAAAAATGCCGGTTCTTTTAGAATGGGGACCCAGAAGGTGCAATCAGACCCAGACTCTGCATTACTCTCATTCTCCGTGCACTAAGTTCCTGAGACTCAATCCCGTAAGTGTACTCGTTCAATTCTATAACTTCTCTAAAGAGGGTAAAGAAAAGAATTTTCTTGGATTAAAGATATGTTTAGGACAAATCTGAAAATTTTGTAGAATTCATTTGCCAAAATTCACATATTGTTCAACTAGCAGATTGAGAAAATCTTTCTCAAAATAATAAAACTGATCTCAGATGGATTCATTAAAATTTAAAATGCATTATTTCAACTCCACATGAGAGTATACGAGGTTGCTTTTTATCATCTTCTAAAATAATTTACGTAAGTTTCTAGTTGAGATCAGTATGAATTTGTCAATGAATTCCACAAAATTTCTCAATTCGTTCCAAACATATCCCAAAGAAATAAAAAGTTAATGAATTCCAAGTATACTTACAGATTGCATGTTCCCAACCTCATCATTGTTCAATATCTTGTTTTTCTTAGGGGTTCTCATTTTTGGGCTCTCAGAAGCGTCCTTAGTTTGATTCTTTCGCTTGGCTTTCTCCCTCTCCTTGTCTAGTTTGGCCTTCTTTGAAACCTTCTCTTTCTTAGAGGAATTACCTGAGACAATAAGCACTGAATGATATAAACATGATTTGGGGCTTCTATTGCTATTTCCACCAACTGTTTTGATCCAAATTCGTTTAAGTATAACATCCCATGCTTACAGACTCAGAACATAATGAACTTGCAAAGATAAAAGAAAAGAACCTAGAAAGGCATCAGTATTTAGTCTATGCTGTAAAAAGATAACAGTAAATACAGCAAAAGAACACACAGGTAATTCAATCAACAGTCTCCAAGTTCCATAGGCAAGAGTGTGATCCAATTTCTTGGCGGAGATAACTCAACTAGAAGAAGATGAAATTTCTACAACTACACATCCACATACTTAAAACATCACAAACTAAGGCTAACCTAAATTCATAGTTCAAAATTATTTTTAATAGAGGCAACATTTTTACACATTAGAAAATGTATCAATCTTTTCTTTCCTTCTTTAAAGATAGAACAGAAATTGGTCTTGAATGAAAAGAAAAGATACGGAAGATTAAAACTTACCAAAGGATATTCCCTAAACCAGTCAAAGTTGCAGAATCCTTCAGTTATAGCATTTTAATACGATGCTTTATCTTGTGGTTTCATATTTACAAAGGTTAAATACAAAGCTGACTGGAATATCCTCTTTGGTGGCTGTCTCCACCAGCTTTAATATGAAAAGCAATTAATTGACATGGACTATCTATGTTTTCTTGAGAAGATGGCGGCCAGGTGCCTTGTTTTACCACTTCAACAAGATTCCCTAATTTTTCATTTGTTGGATGTAGACACATACTTCATATGTAGTAACACAACAGCTGGCAAGACTTACTAGGTAAGGTAAATGTAGTAAAACACCAGCTTGCTCACGGAAAATCCTATCCACCCAAGAAAATCAGTTCAGCATTTCTGTTCTTCACATCCTGTAATTCGTCTCTATTACTGAGGAAGCATAATTTGGAAAGAGCATAATAACAAGTTCTTCGATATGCCCTCCAAAACTTCTTGTGAAATAAAATCAGACTTGTCATGTTATCGCATAAATATGCCATCTAAAAGGATAGTATCAAGTGCCTGAGCTACTCAGCTCGAGGGGAACAAGGAGGAATGCTGCTCTCTGTTGGACTGGGGTTTGTCCTCTTAGCATTGGTGTCGAAGCAAAAAAAGATCATATCTATACTATTATAGGCAGATAAGGAGATCCAGCGTTCTAACGTCTGTTAGAACAACAGGTTCATCCCAAATCAAGAATATTCACAAGAAATACTAAAAACTTGAAAGTTCCCTTTGATTCCATTTTCATAACCAACAATCTACCAAGAATTGGGAGTCATAGATTGATTAGTTAATCCAGACAATCTGAGAAGCTAAAGTAGATTAAAACTTCTTTAGTCAATTGCCAACACACTTCATCATTGCAAACAAAGAAGTCTTAAACAAGGAATAGGTCTATGATCGATCATTACCCTTTATTCTTTAGCATAACTAGAAGCCACATTACCAGACATCCACATCAACCGGACATGTCAACATATTGCTTTTTATCTTTTTGTGCCTGGTAGATATGTCCTGTACTTGGACTACCAATTCAGACAACAGATCTCAGATATTATTGCAGCGTAAGGACAATATATGCTGGCAACAGCATGGGTCGTCATTTTAGTTAGTATAACAAAAGATATTGTCCTAATTGACATGGTAGGTAGATTCGGATGGTAAAATGAATAACACTAACCTTTAGATTTGGATCCTGGTGACTTTGATTTACTGGACTTTACGGAACGAATCTTCTCCTATAGCCATACACAAATAATAAAAGAACCCACATCGTTGAAGATTTTAGATTATTTTGAAACATAAGATATGAAAATAAAACAGTTGAAGGGTAGCCCAGGTTACAGAAAATGATACCTGATCCAGCGCTTTGTCAAATATGTCACGATGACTGCCATTATTCTGTTCGAGTACCTGGGATTTCAAACATACAGAACAACAAGAAATAAATAAAAAGCTACCGCAAAAAGGAAAAAACAAATCTGATATAGATAAACAGTTACACCAAAAGTTGGTGTTATGCGCTCCTTACAATCTTAAACTGAGAATGACATTTAATAGGATCCACATACAGACTGCAAAATAGAAAAAGAAATTTTAATCTATATATCATTGGGAGAGGGAAAACATGGCGTTGTTTCGGTTCAAATTTTTTATTGACAGATAGAGTAAGAAAAAACACTAACTGTTGATAACTTCCATATAGCCTGACAAGAACTTTCCCTGCTGGTCGATTTTTGGGTTTATTGCTCTCGGTAACAGTGTTCTCATCAACAACCTACCACATGAATAAGCAAATAAACTCAGAAACAATTCGGCAGTAAAAAAAGCCAATGAAAACTTAATGTAAGCCAGAAGCTGAAACAAATAGAAAAAAAACAGAGAACACCACACTTTTTATACCTGCGCCGGCCACCATGTGTCCTTTCCAACCTTAACCCATATTAAGTCTCCAAGTGTTACCTTCCCTCCCAATTTATCAGCTGCAGCTTCTTCCCTGTCTTCCTTGCCATCATTACTTTCACCACTCGCACTCCGAGACATTAATAATCTACCATCAAAATAACCTACATTAACAAATAATCCATTCATTTTCTTCTTCTGGATGAATCAGAAAAAGATATCCTACTATTAATGTACATTGATAATTTCTTATCCATTTAAAATTTTGGAAGAGTCGGTTTAATCTATTATATATAGATAAATCTAACAGAAACCGAGAAAATGATAATATACATGGTAGAAATTAGGTTTAACAACTACGTATGAATCAAAAACATCAAAAAGTTCGAAATATCCAAATATAGAGGTTAGTATAACATACATGGTAGAAAATGAAGATATACATGGTAGAAATTAGTATAGTTTAACAACTATGTATGAATCAAAAACATCAAAAAGTTTTAAGTATCCAAATATAGATGTTAGTGTTTTTCATTTTACCTCTCCCTAGAAATTAACCTGTTTAGGGTTACCCAACACTGCAAATATCAGTCCATAACTATAAATTACAGTCAGAAGTGACCCAATCCAATATTAAATCAAAATAAAGAGACGACCAGCCAAGAGCTGTATTGCACTCAGCAAACAGGTTCCAGCCTTACCCTCTGTTTGGTTGGCAAGAAAAGTAGAGAAAACACCTCACGAGCTTCCCAGCCTTTCATTTTCAGCAAACGAGTAAGAAATCAAACTCAAAAACTTAAGAAACCGAAAGAAAAACCAGAAACTAGCATCGATTTTTTGAAAATTTAAGCAAGTTACTGACTGATCAACACCGAAAAGACGGAAGAAGATGTAACAAGTTTCACACTGCATGGCCTCCATTTTCCAACCAACAAGCAAGAAATCGAACTCAATAACTTACAATATCAATTCGGAAGTTGGGTTTAAGTTGAAGATGAAAGTGAGAGAGAGACTTTCTTCAATCCGGATGCCAATTAATGGGGCTAGTGGGGAAAGGAACAGAGCCTTGAAATCAGATCCGACGAGTTCAATTAGCCACTTCGCTTAGCGTTAACGTTGAACCGCAAGGGGAATTCTTACAGACTATTTACTGATAGAATTTGGAAACTTGAGTTGGATTAAATTTATAAAATTATTTTACGGCAAGAATAAGGAAACGAGATTCTTAAATTATCTTTACTCCCACCCACTATACAAAATATAATAATTATTCTTTGTTAATGTGAATTTTTTTATTGAATTATTTATTTACGTACAAAAGAATTAGTTTAGAAAAATAAAGTAAACAATTATATTCATCATACAGGTCTTGACGTGTATTTCTTTAATTTATGGTTATTAATATACACAGTATATGTTGTATACTGATTAAAATAATTAATAATATTTTTAATTATAATACATAATACGTTTAAATTGTAATTGTTTAATAATGATGAAAAAAATTTACAACGATCAATAATATTTTTATTTATTTTATAAAAAAATACAATTATTTTTATTAATTTTATATTATAATTTATGCTATTTTTAATTTATATAGGATAATAACTTTTTTAATTAATAAAAGTTTCATTAATTCTTAGTAAAAATTATTTATATATATAATTTATCTAAAAAATTTAATTACAAAATATAAGTATATATTAATTAAATATTTTACAAAACGCACGAGTAGCGTATTAACTCTATAAAAATTGGTTAGTTGTATAATTAATAGCCAATAATATTCTATTACAAGTTAATTAATAAGAATAAACAAAAATTTTCCTTTTAAATTTTTAATTTCAGAAATCAATATCCATCAGCATCATTTCACCCAAACTCGGAACAATAGTTTCAACTTAATTTAAACCCGTGTGAGATCTACAGAACAATTCTACCAAATCTTTGCCTCACCAGGTTTTTCAACAATTTACAGCCACACACAAAACAGCAGATTATGAAGGTAAGCTAACAAGAGCATTAAATTGAGTTCAGATCAGATCACTTTCAATGAGATGTGAACCAGAAAGGATATCAGATAACAGAGTGAAGACCAGGAAGAAAAAGGCTGTACACGAGAACAGATAAGAGAAGGAAAGAATAGGGTAGAGATAGAGCCATGAGAATGGAGAATTCAAATTGATTAAACTCCCAAAATCTATCTGTACATGAGGTTTTGGTGTCTATAAATACAAAGATGAAAAGATGAGTTGCCTAACAACTTGCAAACAGAAGACTACACACCTAATGAATGGAAAACGGAAGAAACAAAATAAGAAATGGCTATATACAACAACATCAACTAACTAACAACACAGAAATAATGTCTCTGAATAAAGCTACAAAGGCAGCATAGATCAACAGAAGAGAAAAGAAATTACGACAAATAAAATTTTATGGTGCCTTGAGCATGCAATGGGTAGGGACGGTTTAATTTAAACTTAATAGTGTCAATAAAAATGCAACTAATGGTGAAGACACTTATCATAACTTCACAGCAAGAAGGACATAATAATCTAACCCTTTCCCACATAGTTCATTTGTAAAAAGAAAACCCAAATGCACTAATTTCGAAAAAAAAATGATACTTTTGACTGATTTATTATCAGCTGTAAAATTTACACTGCCAATAATATCAGATGTTCTATGATTTGGTTCATCAATTTGACAAGTCAATGACAATATTGATTTCGACTATATAACTTATTGGCCTTATCCTAAAGAGGGAAGAATCAATAAGGCATAGACAGGGACGGAGACCGCGTGTAATAAACTAATCAACCCCTTCAGCATAAGAACAAAATCAAACTCCCCATTCTTGTTTAATTTGAAATCATAACTGTTCAAGGGCACTCACCACAAAGTTCTTTCTACCAACCTTCTAATTAAGTTGTTAACGGATGATTAAAAGATTACTTTCGAAGGCCTTGGGGTCTCTTCAGGATGTAGAGGATAAAAGAAAATGAAACTAATTGCTTCTCACTGTAAATTACCAGCATTCCCATTAAATACCTTGTTACCCAGCTAACATGCATTTCCATTCAATTTAGTTTTTCCCACTAATATTATTCTACTGCAATTCCCTCCTCTTTTCGCCTCCCAAATGAACCCTAGCATGAAAAGAATGAAAGTGCAACGTTCAATTATTAAGAAACCAGAATTTAAACAACAGATAACAATTCGATTTGGCAAATCTATCACCACCCAGCCAAGAATCAACCTTGTGTGCAAAGAAGAATCCACCCATTAAACAATCATATCAATCAAAAGATTCAAAATCTGTACCCGAAAAGAAAAATACTTTCTGAAATCACATTGTTGCATGTCAATATATGGTACAGATCTTCTGTGAATCATCAGTCAGTCACAAAGAAGATGCAAATGAAAAGAAAAGATTTAATATCTACAGTTCTACAATCTACAGATAAGAGAAAAAAGAAAACTACCACTAACAAGTAAAATCTAACAAAATACTACAAAGACCGCTCAGTAAGCTTTGGGAAAACTGATCCAGCTAGTTTTTACCTTCTTTCATTTTCACCAGAGAGACCTCAGCATTTCTGTCCGTCTCCAATAAACAAAACAAAATCCTTATAAGTTCCCATTCTTCTTCAACCCAATTTCAGAAACCTGGATTCTTCCGCGGTCTTCCCCTCTTTCTGGGAGAACTTCCCCGCTCATTCACCGCAGAATTACCCCTATTAACAGTTCCATTCACCCTCTCCGCAGCTGCAGCGGCAGGGGCCGGGGCAGCGGCAGTCGCGGTAGCAGCAACACCGGTAAAATTATTTCCAGCGGGATGCAAATCCGGCGAGTAAATTGGGGGCATCCAATTCGGGAATCTCGAAGTTGTAGCCCCTTTCCCGCCCCCGTTATCTGAATTCCCAGTCACAAACCCGAGAGGGAAGAATCCCCAACGGCAGTAGTACGCGTCCTTGCCGGGGACAAGCGGCGGCAGAGACGGGATCATTGTTGCCTGGAATGCCCTCTGGCAATTCTGGCACCTCAAACAACACTCTAGATAAACCCTAGGATACTCGTACAACCTATAGCAGTACGGGCAGGCGGTCCAGAAAGTGGATAGCTTAGACCGAAACTCGTCCTCTGCGGGCTTAGTCTCCCGCTGGCTCCTCCTAACAGGCAATTTATCATGCTGGTGCAACCCGGCGCCTGCTAAGCTGTTAAGATCGACTTTGGTGAAGAGGCTAAGCTCGTTATCGTACAGAGCTTTCTTCGATTCATTAGAGAGGACGCTCCATGCCTCTGCCACAAGCTTGAAAGCCTGGTCAGCGAAAGGAAACTTGTTTTTGTCCGGGTGGAGGAGGAGAGCCAGCTTGCGGTATTGCTTCTTTATTTGATCGAAATCGTCGGATCGGCGCTCCAACTGCAGCATCGCGTACCAGTCATGGTGGTTATTTATGCGCTTTTCGGACGCCAAAAGCACCTCTACCACTGCTAAGATCTGATCTGACCCCTCTAAAAGCGGCTCCGTCTCCTGCGCCAAGACTGCGAATTCTTTCGATCCCTGCAGATCGCGTGTCTGCAGTTGTTTCTCCGCGATTCCAAGCAACCGCTCCGCTTCCACTCTGTTTGAGCTTTCCTCCATTTTTGTCCCCTTGTCTCCCCTGCCTACTTTCTTGTTTTTTTTCTGTTCCTTGTTTTTCTTGGTCGTGTTTGGACAGGGAGAAAATGGGCTTGAAGTTGGATAAAATCGCATAAAGGATTTCGCCCGAGGGGGATGGCGAAATGGAGATATCCTCCAGGTCGTCTGATCTTGAGTATGATTGGTAAAGATTTTCATCTGTCTGTTTTACCCTCTTTAAATAATCAAAGGAATGTAATAATTTATCCAAATATAATTTAAATAATAAATTCAAATATTTTCAATAAAATTAATATTCACGACAAAATATTAATAAAAATAATAATATTTTTAGACAGTTTGATTTGGTATAGACCGTTTTTTTAAAATTTAATATAAAGTTTCATCATGTAAATATTGTGGAAGCTATTGATTGTCTAGATAAATGCGATGCATTATAGTTTTTATTTTTTGAAATAATAATTGATAAAAAGTTTTTTTTTTTTTTTTTAAATAAGTTATGTGTATTATTATAATATATTCATTAAATAAAATTATTAACAAACTATTATATAAATAATGATTTAAAGGTAATTGTTTATACATAGAATTAAATTTGTAGCAATTAATGTAACCATGTACCAAAATACAAAATAGGAAACTTGAAAATACGGGCCTAACGTTTCCTCCGCATGAATCGCACGGATCAGTCCAATACGGTTTCCCTAGAAAAGGCCAAGATCCTATGGGCCTAAATGTTAAGGACACTGGGCCCACAACTCATGGTCCTGGCCCACATTAATCTCAAAATAAACCGCGTGGATATACGTACAATCTTATACATACAATGAAAAAGAAAAAAAAAATGTGGAAAAGAGGTGTTGCGTAATCCGAACCTGATTTATTTTATTATATTAATATAAATATAATTATATCTGTATTAATAAAAAATTTAAAATAATTTATCAATAATATATTAAATTTTAATATTAAAATCTTATTAGAATAAGTTGAATTGAGGGAGTTGGATCCAAAATGGAACAATCTCTTTATCCACTCACCTATTAAAAATTAAAAATAAATAAATAAATAAAACTTTTTTTGGAAATATAAATATGATTATACCAAGAAAATCAAAATTCACCACCAATGTGCCCTTTTGGGACCACTCATCAGTACTTCTTTGTAGAACATTCGGGTCTGTACTTTTTTTCTTGGTTAGTGTATTTGAGTCTATGAAATTTTAATTTCACCATACAGAGAACGATATAATATAATCGTACACTCTATAAATAATACGGTAAAATATATGCTTCTAACTTTTATATTTTATCTCAGGTTTGTCGTTTTTTTTTTCAAAAAAAAAAATGATTTTTTAATCATTTTATATAAAAATTAGTGTTTTAAATTATTATTTATATATAAGAAAATTTATTTTTAAATTTAAAAGATTTAACATTTTATATTTATATATTTTAAAATTTGTGTAGGCGTTATTCTGCTGAAAATACTAAAACGTGAGGGAGACGGTCGACAATGGAGGGGGCCGACTCACATGCATGCATGGATGCATCAATTAAAGTCTTCTTTTCCAACTAAATCTCAGCCGTCCAATCAAAAATCAAAGGAGTTCCAGCTTGATGTTTCATATTTGTCTCCTTATGCCATGTGCGGAAACTATCCAACCAATTTGAAACTAGCTCTATAATAATATAATATATATATCATAATTATAATTAAATTGATTAAAATTATTAATGAATTAAACAAAGTGCTTTAGCCAAATTAGTTACTTTTTCCTATCATTTTTTATTTTTTTCACTTTAAAATTTTTCTAAAAAATCTATTTTTTTTTAACATAACTTACATGTTAGGAATATATATATATTTATAACAGACAAATTAACTTGTTAAATTATATATGACATTATAATACTTATTTAAACACAAATAATTTTCAATTTATATAAGAGAATAAAACATGACAAAATAATTAATTTTAATATTATAGACCATATACATCAAATGATCATTGCTATAATTATATTTCTCATGGACATGAGATGACAAAATAAGTAAATAATCAATAAAATTTTTAAACATATATAGAATTTTAGTATTATTCAGTTGATTATCATCAAAATTAGTTATACACTATAAAAACTAATCACTATGATGACTGCAAATAAAATTATTACCGATAATCTTTTTTTAAAAGAATATCTTTCGTAATCATTAATTATTTATTTAGAGAGATTTTCAAATAAATTTAAAAATATCTATTTAAATTATAAGATAATATAAAAGATTAGGATATAATGAATGTTATAAAATGGTCAAGTCTGATATTAAGACTTGTTAAAAGAATAAAAAATAATTTATTAATAAATTTGTCACCAATCAATGGCACTATCTTGGCAACCAACACAAAGGGTGTCCAATTAAGAAGATATTAGTAAAATTATAATTAATTAAAGAATAATTTATTAATTAAACTGTCGTTTTAATTAATTAAAATAATAATTTTAGATTAAAATTTGTTGGATATTTGGACAGTGGAATCCATCATCCACGTATCCCTTCTTTTAGATTTTGATTAATTCAAATTTTTTATTGTAGAAGGAAACCTATTGCTTGTCACAGTCGTCTTTATAAATTAATTGACAATATATGCATATATATATATATGTATATACATATCGTACGGACAAAAAATCATTAACAATATTATGACATATATATATATATATTTAATGATTTTTCCACTTTATTTTTTCTTTTGCAGTTGGCATCCACCAAGAAGACGAGTCATCATGGATATGTACGTTCGTGATCTTTTCAGGCAATGGTCTCGATCCCTACACGCACTGTCCAATTTATTTACCACCGAGTAAAAAAACTAAATTATAAATTTACCATTTATAAAATTACAAAAAAAAAAAAAAAAGAAAAATCCACACACACACACACATAAATATATATATATATATATATAGATGATACCGAATAAGCCACGCGGTAATTTTTTTATTTTAAAAAATATTGTGTTAATACTAACTGTAATTATACGCTATATTAAGATAAAATTTTAAATGTTATTATCTATTTAAATTCTAAGATTTTCAATTATTTCAAACTCGTCCTTATAATGATCATATATATATATATATATAATCCATGGATGTTTTATAAATTTGATTATTAATTTTTTGTTATTATTAAAGAGTTATAATTATAAGTACTTAATATTATATAATAATTAATAATTATTTAATTAAATAGTTCATGTTATATCTATATATAGATATACAACTTATGATATATATCAGTATATTTAGTATGTATACACGCACACAAGAGAGAGAGAGAGAGAGATATATATATATATGTATATGTAAAGTGGGGCCTGGGGAATAGGCGATTAGGGGAGGTACATAGGGCAATTATTTAGCTGTGAAGTGACTGGAGGCACTGGCATGGCAATGTATGTACGGGAAGCGATCGTCCACATAAAATAAAAATCAAACATTTAATTATTTTTATTCCCCACAAAAATATTATTTGCAATATGCAAATAATAATAATAATAAAATGGGAATTATTTTGTTTAACCGTAAAAGGGAAAAGAACCTTTCCTTTCTCGAACACACACAGCATCAAGATCTCTTTCCTTCTCTAGCTACAAGTCCATTCTCTCCATGTAATTGGGGCGTGTTCGGCATTCGCGGAATTACATCAAAAATCCATCTGTTCATAATTCCTCTGCTCAGCTACTTCCTACCTAGATCTCTTTAAGGTAAAATTTTCAACAAAACCCAAATAAAGCCAAGCAAAAAAGTACTCAAGAAATCCAAGATTAAGGAACCCATCCCCTGGTGCTTGTGTTCAAGAGATGGGATTGGCGGATTTTCTTCAACTTTTTCTTGATTTTCCCACCTCGATCCGACCTGGGTTTTTCCTTTAGGGTTTCTGAACAATCCTTGTTAGCAACCTAGGACATGCCCATTTTGTTTATTTTCTCTCTCTTTTGTCATTTTATACGTGTTTGGATGGGAGGAAAATTATAAAGGGTTTTTCCTTTTTTTTTTTTTTTTTTTTACAGATTATTAATGGCGAGAGAGAAGATCAGGATCAGAAAGATCGAAAACGTGACGGCGAGACAAGTGACATTCTCCAAGAGGAGAAGAGGGCTGTTCAAGAAAGCTGATGAGCTTTCGGTTCTCTGTGATGCAGATGTTGCTCTCATCGTCTTCTCTGCAACTGGCAAGCTCTTTGACTATTGTAGCTCCAGGTCAAGGTAGGTACTCCGCATAGATAACAAATTTATATAAATACATACATACGTCTGTTTATACCGTCAACTATGTTCATTTTCACGCCGCTCTTCTCATTTATATATAAGATCCGTTATATTTTATCTCTAACTGTAGCTGTATGCAACTAAGCACATATATATATATATATATATATACACATTTATATGAAGAAGAGATCGAGTTTGATCATTGCAAATTAATGACACAAAGAAGTTATTATACGAAAGGAATCAAAAGTTTAAGATTTTCCCAGATAATATGTTATTTTTAAATGTAAAAAAGTACAACAGTGTTGATTAATCTTATAGATTCTCGAAGCAGAAACCTGGAACTTGTGTGTGTATATATATATATATATATATATACAAATATTATATATGTAATATTTTATCTAATTGATTGCCGAAGCAGAAACCTGGTCTCTGTGTGTGTATGTAGATAAATATTGTATATGTAATATTACCTTATTGATAGCTGAAGCAGAAACCTGGTATACGCATATATATATATATACACACAGACTTACATCAATTTATTTAATAGGGTTGGATTTTTATTTTTTGTAAAAAGAAAATGAGTATGGGTGGATTTGAATAGTAATTAGATTACTTCAATGCAAGAAACTTCAGCTGAAGGCATGAACTCACAATAATAAGAAATTAATTAATAAAAATAGAGCAATAACTACTATTTTTACATGACAAATTTGAGCTAATTACTTTAAAGTTTAAAAACTTATAGAAAATAATTCACTAAAGAAAATATTAGTGTGCATTATTACAAACCTTTTTTCCTTAATAAATTTATACATTCATTACTTATGTAATACAAACACACCAATCATAATATAATAAAAATAACATCTATACAAAAACTTAGGAGAGCTTTAACTTAAAAACTTTTATATATATATACAAATTACAATCTTTCATAGAAGAAAAAAAATATTAATCATCCAATCAAAAAATAGTTACCAATAAATACCCTCCAAGTTAATTAAATTGAGAAATGCAAAATTATTGAAGCAAGTTATTACGGATAAAGCAAAAAGCCTTGGAGGGTATTGCTTTTCTTTTAATTGTATGAAGAATATGTAGTTCTAAACTATAGGTTTTTCTCTTGAACGTCGTTCTTATTATTCTTTCTTCGGACGACTTAAGAGACTTGATTGATATTTCAATAAACAAGTAAATATTTTTGTAAACCGATTGCATTCTCTTGATATCATTAATAATGTTGATACTGTTTGCACGGGTGTGATTTAACTTATTCAATTTGAAATTAATTGTTTCTTGGGTGTCTAATCTTGATCAGCTGAGTGCAATTACATAATGGATTTAGTTAGTTTTGCCTTGTCATCACCATGCCATCCTTCTATTAATTCTTCCCCGTTTTAGGTGCCGAAGATCTTGGAGGTAGCATATATATATATATATATATATATATGCACGCGGTTATACATATATGGTTAAAAAAGACTAAACATTTATGTCTATATATATGTGTTTTACAACAGTGTATATATTCCTTTACCATATTTAGAAAGGAAAATATTACCTAGTCTAAAATTTGAGTACTTGATAGTATGTAAATATGATGATAAATAAGATAAATAATTGATTCAATCAGTTTAAACTTTTGAAATAATTATGAATTTCGTATTACAATTAGGAGTCTAAAGTTCAATCTTATTTTTACTAAAAATTCACTTTGTACAAGGTTTTATAAGTATGTACGTGAGTTATGCTTCTAAAATAATCTTATTAAGTTTATATATGAAAGAATGTGTTATAATATAAGTATTAATGGATTCATGTTGAACCATTTCTTATAAAGTTAATATAAATAATCAACGTATACAGCAGAATACAGTTGAATCTCTTGATACCGTGGGAGATATAATACACACACATGAGGACTTAAAAGTTTTTAAAAGTAATCACTTGGCTTCTTCAGTTTTGCTGTTCTTCGTGTTGTTTTCGTGTGTGTGTATATATACACAATACGTTTATATATATGTGTGTGTGTGTGTGTGTGCATTTGTTTAATGGCTTGTGTATATATGTGAGTGTGTTTGTGACTGACTGTCCAAACTAACTAGAGCTTTTTCTGTGTTGTAGCATGAAGGATATGTTGTCAAGGTATAATATGCATTCCAATAACGTCAACAAATTGGAGCCTCCCCCTCTTGAACTCCAGGTAATTTGCTGGATACAAGTATATATATATCATTAACTACATATATATATATATATATATTTCAATTTCAATCCCTTGAGGAATTTATGTACCTACACCTTTAACTGTCTTTCTATGGTTTACATGTGTATATTTCTGTATATATAGATATATTTTTGAGGGTGTTTATAGATGTATGATTTCTGTTATTATTTACAGATAGAAAACAACAATCGCATCAGGTTGAGTAAGGAAATTGCTGACAAGAGCCATCAATTGAGGTATACTATTAGTTAATAAATAATCATATATATATATATATATATACACACACATATGCTAGTTAAAATTATGTGTTTTTAATTGTAATTGTTATATATATGTGTATATGCATATATAATAATGAACAGACAGATGAAGGGCGAGGATCTTCAAGGTTTGAATGTAGAAAAACTGCAACAACTGGAGAAAATGCTTGAAGCTGGACTGGGCCGTGTAGTTCAGATGAAGGTCATATTTACATATCATGTACGCGATGAATACTTATTCTGATATGTACATATGAAGAAAATATATATATATATGCTTCATAAAGGATATTGTGCATTCTTTCTCGTCTAAAATATATACATATATACATGCATTATTCTTTGTTTCTTTAATGTTAATCTACATATTAACCTATTCTTAAATTTTTTTCCTCAGAGTGAAAAAATCACAAGTGAGATTTCTGCACTCGAAAGAAAGGTTAGTGTATACACACACACACATATATATATATATATATATCTTTCATTGATACTAATTTTGAACATTAATTTATGAGTTCTCGATTTTGTGATCAAGAGAAAATATTTATATATGAATTAAGTACCTTTTGTTCTCTCTCTTCTTGCTAGTTATATATATTTATGTATGAATACATATATATATATAGAGGAGAATTTTCCGTATATAGTTCTGCATTCAAGGCATGTTCATTAATTTCTTGGGTAAACATTCTGCAGGGAGCTCAATTGATGGAAGAAAACCAGAAGTTAAAAGAGAAAGTAAAATTCTTAGTTGATTGATCTATAATTAATGATTTAGTAATTAGCAATTATAATTACCAAACTCTAGACTTTCTCTTGAGATTTTGGTTGAACTAATCAACTGTGGCTATATATATGTGTGTATGTGTGTGTATATATGTATGCATATACATATATGCAGATGAGGGAGATATGTAAAGGAAAAAAAGGTGGTGTTTTGGAGACAGATGTTGGTTTGCATGAAGAAGGGTTGTCATCAGAGTCTGTAAACAACACCAACGCCTGCAGCTGCAGCAGTGGCCCTCCTCCAGAGGATGATTCCTCTGATACTTCCCTCAGGCTAGGGTGAGTTATACACACACACACACACACACACACACATACATATCATGAGTAATTTACAAAAATATCCCTTTCTACTGATTACAAAAGGCCTTCCTATTCCATCACAAAAATGCCCTCAGGTTCAGAGTGATCAAGTTCTTATGAATCTCTCATATCATCTGAACTAAATACTTTTGACTACCTTACTAAAATACTATGAAACTCACACACCCACATAGAAACACACACATATATTATATATATCACCAGTAATTTATAAAATATTCACTTCTACTGAATAGAAAATGCCCTACTATTCTTTTGGGTTTTTTTTTCCCCCCCTATTCTATAAGTTTTTTCTTTTTATAAATAAGGTTAGATGGTACTCAAATTATTTTTTACTATATTATTGTAATATTATGTGTCACATCCACACATATAATATTATATGTATATCACTTGTAATTTACAAAAATATCATTTTCTACCTATTACGAAATGCCCTACTATTCTTTTTAGTTTTTCTTTTTCCAAATAAGGTCTGGTGGTACAAGTTCATAGCCATTAAACTAAAGTTTACTAGAGTACTATAGTATTTAAACTAAATATCTTTTACTACATTATCGGAATACTATGAAACTCATACACATACATAGACACAACACATTTAATATTATATATATCACCTGTAATTTATAAAAATATCCCCTTATACTGAATACAAAATGCCCTACTATTTTTTGGTTTTCTTCCTTTTCCTGTTCTTTTAGTTTTTTTTAAGATAAGGTCGGGTGGTACTCAAGTTTAAGGTCGTCAATTTTTTGCTAGCTTTATAACATCTGAACTAAATATTTTTGACTACATTATTGTAATACTACAAAACTCCAATACCCACATAAACACACATATATAATATTATATATATCACCTGTAATTTACACATATATAAGTTCGAAGGGTACTCTTGAGTTCAAAGTTAGCAACTTTTTACTACAATGTTTGATATCTGAACTAAGTACTTTTATCTACATTACCAGTAGTACTAAGATACTTACACACCCACATAAACACACATATAATATTATATACATATATATATAGATATCACTTGTCATCTTCTACTGTTGGTTCTTTTTCCTTTCCTGTTTTATAAGGTTTTTTCTTTTTTTAAAAAAAAAAAATTTGGATAGTATTCAATTTTAGAGTCATCAATTTTTTTTTATTAAAGGATTATATCATCTAAATTAAATACTTTTTGACTATGTTACTGCAGTATAACGAAACTCACTCACCCACATGAGCATACATATAATATTATATATATATATATATATCACTTTATTTTGTAAAAATGTTCTTTATGTATATTTTACAAAATGTCCTCCTATTCTTTTGGTTTTTTTTTTAACTTATTATGACATCGGAATTTCTTATATTCTTGACTATGTTAATATCAGTTAATTCTAAAAATAATGATAACAATAGTCTTTTTATTTCTTATTAAGGATTTGATATAATTATGAAATTCTTAGAGGTTGGATCTTTTGAAATAATTTGAGATTGAAGGGTATTTTTTTGGGTGTGTATATGTGTGTGTATATATACATATATATATATATATAATTAAGATGCTTTGAAATTAATGTTTCAATTTTTCTTTCGAAACTGTTTTGCAGGCTTTCCATTGGCATGTAGCTTGCTGAAAATCAACCGGGAGGACCATGAAACAAGTGATTATTTCATTGAGGAATTAATACTAATCCCTTGAAAGCGGTAAATACGCTATAATTCTGTGATTAATGCAACTGTATTGACATTTGAAACATGTTGGCGGACCATATATAACACTGCAAGAGAATCAAGCGCTTGTTTTGATTTTCATATTTACATTAATATATGTTATATAATCTGCATATATGTATATTTTTTTTATGAAATATGTAATCTATATATAACTGATGATTGGACAGTATTCCCGTCTGTATATGCATATATATATATATATATATAGTGGTGGAGGTTGATAGAATATAAAGTCAAATTTTGTGGTGAAAAAAGAAATTATATATGTTCTAAAATATTAGTACCAACGTAGAAACTAATTAAAAATATAAGAGTATGAATAAAACTTATAACCTACTGATATTAATTCTTTAACATAAAAGTTTATGGGTTTTCTCATTTAATATAAACCACTAAACTAAATGATGTTTTTTATTAGTATTTTTACAGTTATAAAATACTAAATAATTTATTCATCGACTATAAAAAATAATATTGCAATAATTAAACAATTAAAACAACTAATATTTCAAAATAAATTTCCACTTCAGAAATATATGCCCTAGTTTACTTAGAGTAGAGTAGATAATTTTTTTCTTCTCGGAAAAAAAAGGAAGAGATCTGAATATTTTCAAGTGTTTGAGCTGCTGGTTTCAATTTCTTTTTTTTTTTTTTTAATTAGGAAGATGATGGGTTACTAAAAAGATAAATTATATCACGTGCTTCTTTTTAAATTGATTAGATGCATGATACTTACAGAAATACCAATATTTTTTTTAAAAAAAATTGCACTCTTTCTTTTTTTATTGGGAGAATGATATGTAAAAATTAGGTTAAATATATTAAAAATAAGATGGGATTTGATTTCTTCAAAAAATGATTATTTAATATTATAAAATATTTAGAATATTATATATATGGTATGTAGGTCCATACCAAATATAAATATAACTTGATTTATAGACACGAAGTAAATAAATGACAAAATTATTTATAATAGTTATTTTTTTAGTAAAAAATTTGAGGGGCGTCACGCATCCCCCTAACTTAATGAAGTTCCACCCGTACAAGTGTGTGTGTGTGTGTGTGTTTATTACGAAGTAAAAGTAATAATAACCCACAGAATATTCTTCACAAACAAAACTAAATTTCCACAGCGGAGAGATTTTCTGTTTATGGTTCTTGACCATACTCCCGATTCTATCAACTAAAAGGCAGATTTAACGAGTCCTGAATGTGTATCAAACTTGTGAGGAAATTTACATGATCAAGTCTGTCACAGTTGCTAATATAGTCAGGCTGCACTCATTAGGAGCAACCTAACTGGCCTTCCTCCTGCCCGATGTGGCAACCGGCCTTCCTCCTGCCAGCCCAACACGGCAACCAAGGCATTGAAGCCGCCTGGAGCCACCATAATAAGAGCAGTAACTGCTGATAGACACATAGAGTTTTGAATTCGTTGATCAAATTATGTTAACCTCAAATTGATCCCGTAAACAATATTGGTTTGTTAGCTTCTTGGCTCCGCAATAAGAGAAATAACAGTGAATTGTAGACTAGCTATTACTACACCTGCTCCAACTATTTCTCAAACTCATTTCTCTATCATGGCAAGTAGAGGACTTGACAATTTTAAATCACAGAGGAAATTAACCATAATGAATCTTCCTAGCCCGAGGACTGCATCCAAACACTAATGCTACTTATTTACATCACTAACTGTCTAAGCCTAGTCAAATCTAGGTTGAAAAGGAGAAATATACGAGAAAGTTATTCGGTCTCTACTTACAGCTTGAGATCCTTCTACTAACTTTCGACAAATCCAGTTTCTCTGTCGACAAGAGTGGTAAGCCGCAGCCTCTTTGAAGGTTGCAGCTCAGGTGATTCTGTTGAGAGATTATCAGTGTTTGTTCCCACGTCACTGCACGAATTCTTGTTTTCTACCATTTCAGTGTCTTGATGCAATCTCTTTTCAGCCATATTAGCATCTGGCTCCAATGACATGGGAGGATAAGAGAGGAGATCTTGATTTTCATTTTCATCTAGCACCTCAATAGAACCACACGAATCTCTACTAACAGGATTCTCCAATGATAAATTAGAGACAGTGTCAGAGCCTTTTGTTAAACCAAGATTTTGCACTGATGGAAATACATGCGCGACCTTTTTGTTCTGCAGACCTGCTTCTTCGACAAAGTTATTTTCAATAATCCCTATATCTTCTGAATCATCAGAAGCAGATAAAGCCGGGGAGGATGAGCCATCCTCATTCTCCCCTTGCATTGACAATTCTGGGTTCCAGGGCGTCTCAGTACCAAACCCTCTGGATGACAATGGAACTGCACTGGGCTGTATGTGTGATCCCAGAGATACGAAAATTACTTCCTCGTGAAGTCAAATAGACTAACTGCTCACGAGTTTCTGCATCCTCTTGCTGTAAATAAAATAAGAAATGGGTATTAGATGAGCATCTTAAATACTAGAACAGTGTCTTCTTTTTGAAAGAACAAAAAATGCTATGCATATGCATATAGGAAACTGACAAGAAAAAAAAAAAAGGTATGATCACACAAGTTTATTCATGATCTATTTATTTTTTGAAATATATTCATGACCTAATTAGTCTTGACCATAGCACCAAATCATAGCTGTATTATAATTGAGTAAAGAATTTCCAGTACCTCCCTTGGTGACACGGTACCATTTAGGTAAAATGAAGATGATGGAACAAAAGATTCAAACTGCCCAAGTAATGACCCTGAAGTAGCCCCTGGATCAAGCAACTCTTTAAGAACCAAGCCAGACTCGTTCAAACTCTGTAAATCAGAGGCTGCTGCCAATAGCGTCATTTCAATTCCTCTGCTGGCTGGGGGATTTGATAAATTCCCATGACATGCTGCCGAGGGATGGCATCTTTCCTGAAGGAACTCAACACATGCTTCATTCCCATTATCTTCTGAAAGCCTGGGGGAATGATGATCGGCTCCGCTTGTTTCTTGAGAATGATGTTCAATAAGTCCAAAAATTAACTTCTGGATAAGAGTGCGCTTAAGGGAAGCCTCAGATGGTGGAAACCAGTCTGAATTAAGCTGGAGAGAAGGAAGAAAGGGCATGTATGTATTTTTAGAAGATAAAACAAATAAAAGAGCCCAGAAGAGTTACCATCAGCTCAAGAAAAAGCCACTGGTCCTAGAGACTACAAGCTGCGACTTGGACTTACAAAGTTAGAAAACTTGGATAATTTGAACGGACTGAAATTAACAGGAGCTTCATTCAGAAAGAGCTCAAGATAGTGCAGCAAAAATAGGCCACAATCATATAAATTTTCCTGCTGTGGCAGCTGAAATGGAACATGAACTGTGTTAGAACAACAACTACAGACACCAGGCAAAAGTATGGATTGGAATTAAAGACATGGTAAACATCTTTACAAATTCCAAGCATTACAATAAGCAAATAAATCCAACAAGAACTTGCCAGCAAAAGAACTTCATGCCATCGAATTTAGTCTTCCAACTCCCATGTCCAATACAATGATCCTTGCAGAAAGAATCACTTTATCCATAATATACCCATTTTAAGGATTTATTACCAATATAAAAAATTTTATTTCATTTTAGTTGGTAGGTTGACAATTTATTATGTTGTGAAGCCAAACCAATACATAACTCTATCAGTACATGAGGCTATCCCGAGCATACTATCACACAGACAAGCCATGAAGAAGCCAGTCTTGTATTTTCATCACAAAAACTTGAAATGTAAATTGCAAAAGTCCCCAGAATTTTTCCTGTTATGCAGAAAAAATTGATACTAAAAATCCAAAAGAAAACATCCACATGCAAACATGATATTTATAATTCCTGACTCCCCCTCCCTCCAATTTTGAAGTCTGCCAGTACCTCCTTTGATATTTTGTCACGTTAGTATATTTCATATGATTACTAAAATATCTAACATAATTAAGATTGAAAAAACTAAAAATATTACATAATAAAAAATTTAAAACATTTTAAATCTGGCCCCATCAGCAGCCAAGGACTCTTTCTATATTTTAATAATACTTAAAAGTACAAGTACCGATTTTATAATTTTTGTAACTTAAATGAATTAATAACTTAGACACTATTTACTAAAAAGATCAAGTAAAAATTTAAAAAAAAATTAAAAGAAGGCAAGTATAGGTCCTCTAAACTTTTGGGGTCTTATATGATTATACAATTGTTTGTAAAGTAATGCAACTAGTAGTTCAGTCATTTATCATTACTGTAAATATTTACGTCCTATTTAACATTAGAGGATAATTGTAGATGTAGTAAAAAACAAGTGTTCTTGTCTAAATTCTTGAAATAGGAGGTTTATGTATATTAGGACAAAATTCAGGGGGTTTCTCCAATTTACAAAATTCAGGATTTGCAGATCTCTATAAGCAAAGGCCTTGTTTTTCTAACTAGAAGAAAAATAACATTAAATCTGTAACCATAATGAGAGAAAAGAGTTATCCGGACTTTAAACTACATGAAATACGAGCATTAATGTAAACAGAAAGGTTAATCACACAAATATATATATATATATATATGTGCATGTTCCCAATTTCTCTTCTCTAAATCTCTGCAATAGCTAAAGGTGCCAAGCATAGAGGCAATACCTCAAGGGTGACAAACCGCAAATTCAAGAATTTTGACGAAATATCATCCAATGCCTCCTTATGCCTCTCTTTCCACTCTTCATACAGGTACCTATAAGAAGGATAAATCTCAACAGGGTACAAAATGCAGCTCTGAAATTTTTAAAAACTAAATAATAATTCAGTTTTGAGGATATGTAGAAGAAGAGATTGATTATTTGTAAGTGATTAATTTACTCTATAAAACAAATATGTTCTCTAGTTTTTAATTTGAGGAAGCCAATAAACATGAATAATTACTGTTAAAGTTTGCAGTCCTCGTAAAAAAAAGATGAAAATGGAAAACGACAACAAAGGAAAATAAATATTTGCATGTTAAAACATACAGCTTGACATATGATGAGAGAACTGAACACATAATTACTATAAAAGCTCTATGATACCTCTGAACAAGATTTTTGAGGCCTGCATGATTTCCTTTGATTGAATCCATATGCAATATACAAGGTACTTTTAATGAACCATCCAAATCCTCATCTGCAGTATGATACATTATACAATAATGAAGAGAATGCTTTTATGATTTCTTAAAAAGATATGTACACTATTCTGCAAACTTACCCTCAAAACTAGCCACTTCACCAGGGTGACAGATGACTATCAAACTCCAGTGAAGACTACCGTTGTAACGCACATAAAGTTATGTCAGTGCACAAACTCATAGTAGCAGCCTCAACTGAACAGAAAAGGCTGTCTTACCTGAAGTTTACAGGAATGAAGATGTAATCTTTTCCAAATAAATCAACTTTCCTTGTCCACTTTTGAACACGTAGAAATGCAGCCCTTCCATCAGAAATACTAGATGGATCCTTGTCAAGATCAGCAAGCTTCCGAAAGAAAAAGCTATTAAAGAAATGGAACTTCTGTTTTTCCTCAGGTTGCATCTGATTCTTCAAATACCTGCCAACCAGTTATATTTGCAACAGAAATAATTTCCACATAAGACAAGATAAATGAGAGATGTTGTCTCATATAGCTATTTGGAAGCAATATTGTAGGTCAAATGCCATTGCTATCGTTACCATTCTCAACTTCCCCAAGTCTTAAACTAACAAATGGAAGATTAAAATTTACTATTTTGGTGAAGATCCATGACTACACTCCGAGCCTAATTGAGCTTCAGTTTGAAAAACAAATAGTCAAAACCTAATCAAACTGGAAAGGCACATACATGACCAATTTTACCCAGATATGGAATTGTCAAAATATGCATCTTAACTCACTTTATATAGAAGTCGATAATTGTATCATTGATGAATATCCCGGGCTGTAAGAGATCAACATCCCTCTTGCTAATGGAAACAGCATCTGAATCCCCCTTTGGATAGACAACCTCCTCAAAAGGCTCATCAAAACTGTAAATCACCCATTTGAATTGTAGATTCCTTACTAAGTAATAAATAGTTAATAGAAATACACATGTAATTAGTTAAAATATTTGAATAACATTATTATTGATTCTAACAACATAAAAGAGTATTTATAAAATATTTTAGCTATAAATTTATGATAAATAACATGTTCTATTTTAGTAAGTCTTTTTTATTGTAGAATATGGATGTTTAACTATTTAAAACCAACAAGTAATTTGGCACAAGCTGATCACACATTTCTCTCAAACACAATGTACCCAAAAGGTCTACAATATCAAGCCCATTTTGACGAGTTTGCCGTTGAGCAAAATATCGATTTAAGATTTATAAAATCTTAACTTATGAAATATTTACAGAAAATCCTAGTTATTTAATAATCAATCACGTGAATTGGTTCATAATTTTTCGTCAATGACAAAATAAATTAAATGACAATCTAAATGAACTTAATATTATTCATAATGAAAGCTTTGTCAAACAGTAGGCTAACTTAAACTTAATAATAGAATATCTCAAGAAAATTATGCTAATTTAGCTCACTCGTTAATCATTTCATGATAGAATAAATACAGAAAACTGTGCTAATTTAATAATAGAACACCTACAGAAAAATGTGCTAACTTATTTGTCTGTTCACGTGAATCATTCATAACAATGAAAAAAATAAATAAATAGATAATTTCAAATGATAAAATATATAAGCAAATTTTGTTAATTTATTTGTCCATTCACATTAATCATTACGGAAATGCACTTGAATATTAGGACTTGAAAAGCAAAATTCAATATGTTACCAATGGGAATATTTTCTTAGTTGAATTCCAAATGTGGATATCTTTATCTTTTGAACAAGATTAACATAAAAGTATAATGTGATAGAAAGGTAAAATCTTAGTAATAACTTAAGCCAAAGATACCAATAGGAACACATGCCCAATTCAGTAAATTTTATATCTCAGGCAACTGAAAAATAGAAGGTTGTTTTCTCAAAGAGCATTCACTTACTTTGGAAAATATCGCCTCTGTCGACACAAAGCGATTTCATCTAATTGCACATCCTCACTACAAATAAATGATATGTTATCTTCTGAAAAATTGGGCAAAGAAGTAAACGATGAAGCATAAACATAACAATAACTACACAGCCTTGGATCATTCAAAAAATGCGTCCAGCCGACAACAAGACAACTAACTTTAATAAGCCAACCATAGACCTAGGAAATCGAATATGAACCTAAATATGGGATGTCCATCACAAAGTCAGAGAGCAGCACTTTAAAGAGAGGGAAACAAACTCTTGTCGGAAAAACAGCATAGATTAACACCAAGCGGATTTTAATCTATGTACAAAAGATATTTACATATCAATTAGGACTTCAGTACATTACCAAAATCCTTCATAAAGTACAAATAGTTACTGGTAACCAACCAACCCAAAGTTTGATACCATCTATCCCTAACCGTATCAAACTCCTCTTCCGCCCCCTTCAAAAACCTTTTTTGTCCTTTTTTTCCACACCACCTTAAAAAAATTGTATGAAGAATGAGGCGTAAATGCTTTTTCCTACCATCCACCCTCTTCCATACCCATATCTCATCTCTTACACTACCCATCATTGCTCAGTTGACACCTGAAATCCCATGCACCATACTCCATAACTTAGACGCTAGAGGACACGGTAGTAAAATATAGTCGCAAGTCTCCTTTGCCCTATTATAAAGGTAGCATCCATTGACCAAAATCTTTCTCCTTATCAACTAATCAATAGTCAAAATACTTACACACCCTGATTCCAAGCAAAGAAAGTGATTCTAGCGCGGAGCGCTCACTTTTCATATATGCCAAAATGAGAATTTATCATCCACAACATCATTCTTAACCAAATACTTATAGAATGATCCAACCAAAAATGACCCATTTGAGCAGAGAGTCCAAATTGGTTGATCATCATTCTCAACCAAAGATATAGAAGACTGTGATCCCAAAAGGGACGCATAATCATATACTTCTCAATCATTAAGATTTCTTAGAACTTCCACATGCCAGTCTCTCCCATCCCCAACACACTGATCTAGTATTTAGTTCAACAATGCCCTAATCCAGGCTTTTGTATACCACGTGAACTTCTAACTTATAATTTCAAATGCAAGAATCATAATACACTAGATTGTCATCATTTCCAGTCACTCTTGGTCCCTAGGGGCAAAAGCTCCATTCTCTGCCTCAAAACCAAAGATCTTTTGAGCAATACCCTAATCACCACTTGACTCCTTAATTAGTCTTAACCCAAAGTCGCTATGAAAGACAAGAAATCCAAACAAGCCCTGCCTTGCCCCAATAGCCAAAGTGAAAACAAGACAACAACATTGAAGATTCTCAAGCATTCAGGAGACAACTTATTATTACCAGTTTGTTGAAATACTAAAAGAATTCAGGTTTATTTGGCACCATAATGGTCATAGTTATTAAAGAGCTCCAAGTTACATTTAGATAAGGTGGATGCTCCAAATAAAAAAATATGTCAAAACATCCTTCCATCCATTCAAAAAATTCACATCAAAATTACCACTAAGAGTATCTACCAAGTGCTAAGGTACAGTAGACTAACTTTCTCTCGGAAAAAGATGTAATAGATTACCATTCATATTATGAATAAAATGTAGTAAATTAACAATTCCCAACTCTCACTGTTGGAACAGACAAAAGAAAGATGACACTCCAACAAGTTTCATATATTGGTTTTTTTGAACATTGTTATTCAAGAAAATGGTATTACAGAATCATGGCAATTCATGATTTCCAATATATAAGCAAAAGGTCTTCTGCATCTATCAACCAACACCAAAAGGCAAGCATAACACAATGGCCCCAACAGGAAACACCACTGAAAAAATTAGCAATATTAATTCCATTATTCAGCTGCAAAAACAAATATATCATTCAATCCTTAGCAATAGAACACATAGAAATTGAAAATGCAACACACAAATAATCTATTGTTAGTAAAAAGCTTAGAAACCAAGGCATTTAAGCACTTACACAAGCACTAAATCCCATACAGCCAGGTATTTGACATTCAAAGAGGTGATTTCTTCTTGCTTCTGAGACCAGTTTTTGTCAGCAACTGCAAACCTCAATTCCTCAATAGCTGGATGATTCATAGAAAGACAAAAGTCAAGGAAAACAATAAGACAGAAAATAAGAGTCATTTTGAGGTTTGATGAAAAAGAGATTTTGCTTTTATATAAGAATAATATAGGTGTCAGATAGTCATCTGTTTTCATGGTCAGTGAAAACACATAATTAAGTCGCCATGGAGAGAAGAATTTTATACGAGTACATAAGAAAAAATATCTCCAAAAAAACCTCATGTAACGGGGCTCGATTATGGTGAATTCACATTTTTCTTATAAATGAAATTATATAAAGTTTTTTTTAGATAAATAAATGAAATTATATAAAGTGAACATCATTCTGGTGACCCTGCAATTTTTTAGAAAGAAGAAAAATGGCATTGAACTAAAGGCACCAATTGAATGCCACCTGTGTATGTAGCCCAATTTAATCATATTACCATTCTTTGATATTTTTTTGAAACAGTATATTTCATTTAAGATATTGAATAACAAAGGGAAAATTCATAAAAATGACCATCTTATTCTCCTAACCTGGAAGCACCGCGTGCATCCTCACAGTGCATAGCATCCTTCGATAGCATATGGAACTTCAGAATAACAAACCCAACCTAAGCAAACCCCAGGAATGACAATTATATACTCCTCAAAAGCATGTACAGATTAGCAAATTACTTCCAAAAGAATTCATCTTGAACTTACTCTTTGAACCCACTGGCACTCGATATCAATAATATCATCCACTCCCCACTCAAAATTAAACCTCCCCTGGCCATCGGGTATGGTTGAACATTTTATTTTGATACTATCATGGGAAAAGGCTACCAGGGCTTCAGTACAATACTTATCCTGAAGCACAATATAATCTGGCGATATAACGACTGCCACATCCATATCAGCCTGTTAATAGCACAAAAAGATTATAATTAAACTTTGAAAACTCTCCTCAAGATATTCAGCCTCCACGGCCAGATATAACTATCACAGGCATAGAAGTCCTGGATGAACTATATTTTTAAGCTGTTTTACCAAATTTGTTACACAAGTAAACAGTCGCCACTATCTTCCCAAATGAAGAAACACATATGCTAATTCCTGCATGCTATCCTTGACAAGGCAACAAGAAGTACTGAATCATCATGAAAGACTAAGCTGAAACTTGAGGTTCACAAAATAAACCCACATCTACAAGTGGCAAAAACATTCAAAAGTAGCCTATAATACTAAAACAGTACTTTTCAATGTTCATTTAGCATGTACATGGTCCTATTTGAGCACAAGTATCGTGATAAAGAAATGGCACATTATAAAAATAATATCAAAAGTCTAAATAACAGAAAAACTACTAAATTGACAGTAAGGAGGATCCATATAGATTAATTCGAGTTGAATTAAAAGAAAGAAATGACAAAAAGAACAAAATAATGAGGAAATGAGAGTTTAACAGCATGTGCTTGAGCTACAACCTAAAGCCTAGACTCTAGTTAAAAATACAGTTATAACAGCTCTAACGAGTTAACAAAGTATTGCATCATCCAAAGATTAAAAGAAATCTTTACCATTTCTGAATCACCATCGAGAAGAATATTTTTCTGCCCTTTCATGGAAACTGAAATCACATAGAAAACTGTCCTTAGAACATCAAGAAGCACTTAAAATGCAGAGAAGAACACATTATGAGATATTAGCACAACAGATCTCAATGTTAGAAAATGTACCGCCATCTTCTCCTATATCAGAAGCAGGACTTGATGGACAATGATCTTTCATGCTTTCGTCATCATCTGACATTGGATCAACTGGCTCATTCTGCACAAATTCAAAGCACTATAAGCATATAATGGGGCATTGACATGCGGAAAGAAGCAAATTCAAAATATATTAATGTCTATTTACACGGGAAAGAGTCTCCAAGATGCCACAACTTAAATGGCATGTCTGAGAAGATGGCCCGTGGCATGAATTTACCAACTCCAGTTCAGGACTGAGACTTCTGGATTCAAGATTATCTTCCTTAAACTGAATTTGCTCTTCGTGGTTTTCACATTTGGACTTGGAAGCAACATCCAACCTAAAATTTTCTTCTTTGGCAGCAAATGGAGTAGCATTGTCAACGTTACCATCAAAGTCAATTGCATCAACATGTACAAGAGATATGTGGCAACTTTCTTTTTCCTGAACATCCGTATCCTGGAAAACTAGAAGCACATTCTAATTGTTAACTATAGAAGGGCAGTGTGCTACAAATTATATTGTCAAAAATCCTATCTTAAAGCTAAGACTCATAAATTAATAAAGGAATGTAAACACATAGAAGAACTGTGGAGCAGAATAGACATACAAAAGATTGAATTGCCTGTTTCCATTACTAGGATTCATGATCAAGAGGATTGAGAAGCTCTACATCTTTTTTGCATAATTTTTTAGTCTCAAATTTCCTTCATTCTCCAAGCGAAAAAAAGGCATGATATTAGGCATAGAAACAGTAAAAATCGGAGGTGCTTCTCATGGCACTGTCCACAATTTCCTTAGATCAAGAGTTTAAAATATGAAATCAAGCAACTAATATACTTTATCTAAACAGCAGCTCAGTTTTTACATAATCCAAATTAGCATTTAAGAAACAAATTGAAAATACTGTACAAAGAACCTACGAGTTAATTGCTGCAAACATGGAGATTTCAGAATTAATGCGCATAATAGCTTGGTAAATTCTTAAAAAGCAGAATTTTAGAGAACGGCCAATAAATTCTAAAAATAACTAGTTTGGCAGCATGAAGAAAAAAAATCTGCAGTATACGTATTTATTTCATGCAATTTTACAGATTCAACGATATCTAGATCAGAGTCGTTAAGTTGGAGAACATGCATTCGAATTAAAATGATTCATCTCTCAATTATAACTAAGCTCAAGATATGCCATCAAAATCAACTTAATTAAAAGCGTAAAGCCTACTATTTTAGCATAATTTTATAATACGTTTTTAAAAACGACATGAAGAAGTAAGAATGAAGCTTCTCCAATTCTCAAATGAAGATAACAAAAACTTACAGTTTTGGAGAACCTGGTAGTTCAAAATCGCAGAGCCATCAGAATTAGGGCTTTTCAGCTTCTTTCCGGCAGATAGCTCGGGCAGCTCGTCTTCTTCCTTGGAATTGAAACCATTTCGTACAGCCTCCATCGTTTGATTACGAGAACGAGTTGGTACCTGAATTGGTTGAAACGAGGGACTCAGTCAATGAAACATCATATTCTTCAGAATCGTTGAATTCACTGTGATCGGGGGAAGAAAGTGGTAAGGACTGAGAAGGCTGCCCTAATTTCTACGTGTAATGCAATTGACCAATTACGAGGACTTCATTTTTTTCTTTCCTTTTAACTTTTTTGGTAACATACTCGATCAAGCGTTAAAACGGTGTTGTCTTTTGCGTTTAGATCACTACTCGGATGACCCGCTGACGTGAAGGTGCTGCCGCGTTTGAGGGAGAATTTAAAAAAAAAAAATCATTAAGATTATATTTTGAACAAAATAATTATTTCTGATAAATTATAAAAATATATATTATGAAAAGAAAACGTTTAGGGACGAATGCTTGCATATAATGTATATTAAATAATTTAAAATATTTAAAAACTTTTACAAAATCTTTTAGGGACACATATGAAATATATTTTAATTTATTTCTAATGTTTTAAATAAAAATTTATATCTATAAATAATTAGGCATGTAATAAAAATATTATCTAAAAATTAATCTTATAAAAATTAATCCTCTGGATCTCATCAAGATCAGCGTGCAACTCCAAGGCGACAAACTCACCATTTCAAACCCCAACCCAGCTCCCCCTCTACTTCCCCGTTGATTCAAGCCGGGTTGAGGTAGCGGACACGTGGAGCACAGGCAACAGAAGCAGGGTGGTTCTCTGTCTCTCTCTTTCTCTGTCTCGCTCTCTCCCGTGCTTATGTATTTGCTCTCTGCGTGTATACATATCATAATCAAACGGTGCCGTTTAACATTGGGTTCTAAAAGCGCTTGTTTCGGTGTACATGAAGTTTTGGTGACCCTCACTTAACCCCAGGTACAAAGACCTTGTATCTCATTTTCATTCACAATAAGAAACGAAAGAGGCGCTGCAGTGAGAATTTTCGAGGCGCCGCAAGTGGGTCCAATCTCTGTAGGCGTCCGCAAAGTCCAAGCTTGAGGCGTCGCCGGTTTGTTCTCCGCCGTCTACGCTACAATGCTCCCTAAAGACGCTCTATTCCACTACCCGCATGTCGAAGCGGGAAGGGAGCACTAGCCTGCGGCTCTAACGACACCGTTTTCCTCTCTTCTAAAAACGGTGAGTTTTTCTTTCTTCTTTTTTTTAAACTTAATATAAACGCTGAGTGGAGCCCACCCAAAGTTATCTTTATAAGTGCGAAACACAGAACTCGGGAGAATTCAAGAAAGTTGGGCGCACATTCCTTCATCGAGCTCATCAATGGCGACGGATCAAATGCAATTCGGAAATGGACACTCAGTGGTAATTCAATTGACCGAAGAGGAAAAACGTGTTGGCAACCACTGCGTCTTCGAGCTCTCAATCCTCGAAGCCGTCAGCAGATACTCTGAGAGTTTCTTGCCCGCAACCGGGTCCTCTGGCTAAGCCGCCGATACAGAATAGAAAGAGTCCTATTCAATTTCATTTGCCAAGAATGTCCAAAAAGAGACGAATCCATCAAAACCAACCTCATTATCCATCTCCAACTCAAAACCGACGCC